CTGATAACGCGAAGAATACGAAATGTCTATATTAAAATCAGTCGCGTGAACTGTAAGTGTTGAAGCTAAATGGCGAAAGATAAGAAAGTAATCCCCCGCGATCTCGCAGGATACATTTAATGATTCACCATACGAATTCTCTCTTAAACGCACCATCACGTCGATTTACGCAACCATCCGCGATAATCCTTCCGCTCGCGCACGCAACCACCGTCGTGCCATCAGCGTATTTTACCCACCCACGAAAATAGCCCCGGCGTTTTACGATCGCCGAAAATGGGAGGTGGTTTTCGCGGTTGTGCGTGCAGTGAAGGAGAGGTGGAGAAGAGGATGCATCCCGATGCTTTATAATTCATGCCTCGTTGCGTTACCGTGTCGCCCGTAAATCCACGCTCATGATCCCCTCGCCGAATCCTTCTCCGCGGATGCGATCTTTCGCGATGCGCCGCGCCGGCCGCATTTTATGCGTCGCGGTAACGAGCTTCCGCGGTGAGCTTTTACGGCGGATTTATGAGCGCTCCTCGCCGCGGTCAGGTGGTAAAGTCGTTTCTTTAATGCCCGCACCGTCGAGCGAGGGTACGTTTCGGCTATGCGTACTCGAGAGAGAAAAGAGAGAGAAAGGGAGAGAGCGAAAGAGAGCGCGGATGCGTGAAATCGAGACGATGGCTCGCGCGCATGGAGGCAGTCTGGAAGCGCAAAGAGCGTATGGTTCGAAAAAGGGAACACCGAAAGAGCTTCGCGTAAACAGCGCTTCCGTGAAGTCCACTGTTTATCGAGGGAGGAAGGTTGTTGAAATGTATTGCATCTCTCCCTCGGGATTGAGAGGCTGCTACGCATCCAGAGTTCTCTCCGGATGCAGTATGCACCGGGATGAAATACGATCATCACTTGCGCATCGCCTAGAAAAACTACGGGGAGCGTGCCAAATATTTAGTCTGTAATCATTGAGAATGTAATTATCTCTTTTTTTTATTCGCGTGTATGTAAAATATTAGTGTAGATTTTATAAACTCTACGATCAGCTTCCTGTAGATTGAAATTTAAAAACATCTTCAACATTAATCGTGTATTAAAATGCTCTCACAAATTTGATAAATTATTTGTCCACTTTTGAATATCTTTTGCATCGATTTTAAAGTGCATCAATAAAATAATTCATTTGACGGCATATAAATTGAACTCTCGATTCGGAGAACTATATATTTGCGATTCATTTGCGCGAACTTTAACTTCGAGCGCTCATCATTCTGCACAGACAGCGTACTCACATGCAGCGTAAGATTCCGTGCGACTTTGCTGGTTTTCCCGATTTGATAAAGAACGCTCGGACGTCATTCTCTCGAAGCTTTAACGAGAATCCTAAGAAGCGAGTAATATAAGGTTAACGTTGCATTTACTAACATGTAAGTAGGGTCCGGATAAAACTGATACTTTTATGTTGCACAAGATGTTTTTGTTAAGAGGTAGGTCAATTGCGGATTAACCTAATGTTTAGATAGACGTGCGAAGCGATAAAGGAAATGCTGGATTAGCGATTAAGGTCTGAACGATGCATTCGCGTGTCATTTGTGAGAAAAGATAATGAAAACAAAGTTCAATAGGTTTTTTTTTTAATATTCCGTATCGATACTGTGCAACAAGGATTATTGCTAAGATGTGAAACGTCCTAAATGAATGTTGATATGTAACATCTCTTTTGCTTTCTATTTCTGAAACATACGTGCAGTTCCTCATTCCAATATACCGCGTCCTTGACGTTTGAAGATGCTATTATTGAAGATGATACTACACGTATTATATATATCACTCTAAACCGTAAATTTATATCTTTCAAGGATCTAACGTAATGGAATTAAACGCCAGTCAGTTCCGCACAAATCGCGAGTTGTGCGGCTTTTGAAGATACACAGTAAACCGGAACTATGGGTATAAAAAATACACGAGAAAATTGAAGGTTCTTTTAAGTTGCCGCCGTGCGAAGCATCGAATTATTCGCGTCTAATTTAATTTTACCGTGCGCGAACGTTAATTGAATATTCCCTCGTTATACATGTAGGTCGCTGGGATTAATCATCGGCTAAATACTCAAAGTCCGGACTATGCGCGCACCGTATACACGCCTCCCGATCGCAATGTGATGAAATTTGCGGTCGTTTAAACACCGAAAAATAACTGACAGCCAGTCGATCGGCCCGGTGGCCGTTGGTGGATTCCCTTTGATCGTTCGGCATCGGTACACGTGAATTTACGACGGAAAACCACGGATGGACAACAACAACGTGCACTCGGTGGAATTGCTCAATTACCCCCGGCGCGGCAATTCCGACTCCGGCCGGCATGCAGAAGTCGGTGGAACGTGGCGGGTTTACCTTTGTAAATTGGCGCAAAAAAGGCAAAGCACGATCGCGACGACAGCCGCCGTGAACGTGCGTCGTCGTCGTTTTGCTCGCCGGGGCGGCCGCCGCCGCCGTCTCGCTGCGAGCTACCGCGAAATTAAGGTGCACACGCATCGCGTTCTCGTTTGACGTCGAAGCACGTAAGGTTTGTGAGAGCGAGACGAGCTCGTTGTCGAAACGTTCGTCTAAAGTAACGAATTAATCTTTCCGTCTATACTAATTCTATATGCGTACTATAGATTCTCTTTCTCGAACTGTATCGTGAAATTGCTTATATAATATTTCTTCGTAACATCTGTTCATATGATTGAAATGATCCGTAAAATTATTTGGAAATCGTGATATTTCTTCTTTCATGGTATTTCGCGTTCCGCAAACAAATTCTCCGGCTGTCGTTGCATTAATCTTGGCGATAAATCGTACTGAAGAACTCTAATAAACGATTGGCGCCTACTGGGCAGCAATTTTCGAGATCTGCCTTGCGAATGTTAATTTGAGAAGTTTTGTCGGACGTCGTTGGTTCGCATTGCCAAGGTCAATCTAATCTTGGCTCTGTGTAGGTAAGGAGAATCACACTGACGTCGCACGCAGATACGCCGGTCGTTAATAACGTTGAGCTTTCACGGTATAACGCATCCGAAGCAGTTCTCAGAAACAGAATACTTAAACAATCTTGAAGAGCCGCGAAATGAGTTTGGCAACGTGCGCCGATGAGGATAATCAACATTGTGTAGTCAGGGATTCTAATTTACAGAATACCCTCTTAATCAATTTGTTCTTTAATTGTCAATTTAGCCTTAATTAAAACTCAATTTGTAATTAATCTAATAATTTGATTAATCTAATGATTTGATCAATTCATTATTAATTTAATAATTAAATGTGTAAAAATAATTATAGATTCGATATGATTTATAGCAAACCGTAATTTATAAAAGATTGTCGCTGACAATTGTAAACATGAAACGATATGTGAAACGAAAAATTAACGAGTAAAAGATGTTCACATGGATATGTACATTGATGTATATTAAATTAGACGCCATTCACGAGGCAAGCAATGATTTTTAACGAGAGTGACAGTGCTACAGCTATAGCGGGCAGGTGTCTACCGTCGTTTCGTGCAATATGACATTTGTCGAGATTCGAAATGATGTTTCAAGGCGAGTCGGTGCTATCTTCAGCACCGATGGTCCTTGTGAAAGTTAATCTCAAGTTCGGCAGCGCGGAACGAACAATCTCGGATGATCCTGGCCTACGTCCCGCGCGAATTGCGTGAATGACGGGCAAATCTAATGCGCTATCCCATCGATCTTATTATACTCCGCCGACGTGCAGACACCGAAGCGATCGATTTGTGATGTTCGGCTTGCCGCTCGCCAGACACGTCACGGTATTGCGCAATTCGGCGTTGACAAAATTAGTTTTAATGGTAAACACAAGCCGGCCACAATACAAATAACCTGTCGGAAATAAATCTTTCAGCTGCCTTCATCGTCGCCGCAGTAAATCACTGTTTATTATAGTCTGTTATTTTTGGTATGACACTTTTCGGTGACGCGCTTAGCTTTATCGAAACGAATTGCTGGCAGGAGCTACGGTACCTACTGCATCCCATAATTCCACGCTGTCCACCTCGGTATCGACCGCGAATGAGAACGCAAATCGCGCGGTGTAACGAAGTTATCTCGCGAATAATGATAGCGCTGTAAATTAGCGGCGATCACCCCAAGCATCCGATCTTGCATTCGATGATAATTACGATCGGGAGCACCGTACGTATCCCGGTAACATATGGAAAGATACGGAAGACGATCGTCGATTGCCGAGAGAGATCGTCGATAGATCTGCGAGGATTCTCCGAGTACAGTTACAGGGAACGCGCTCTCTCGCGTAACATGCTCTTCCTCGGACGTTTCATGCAAACGGATCGGCGCACGAGAGGGAAGAAGCATCGATAGATCGGCCTCGCGTGTGCGACTGTACGTGAATTCGCCAAGTCGAATCCCTGACTCGATTTTAATCTCCACCGTGGTAACGTCGATCCGGGGAAAACTCGACGGTAACTGACTTTACGGCTTTCAGCTCCAGCACCGGATGCATACGAAAGGGTCCTTTCATTCGTTCCGTGATTTCTTGGAAAGCAAATTACATCCGCGCGCGTTTCGGAGTTGGTCTGTCCCCCGCATCAGTATCCTGACGCAACGATGCTCGATCGATTTTATAACAATTTTCTCCGTGCACTATTAAATACCGCAATCTTTTAAACGTTTCTTATTGGATAAAAATAATTACTGGGGATGCAATCAATTGCTATAATTTTGCGGTCAAACGTTGTAATAACGTGGATATATTTACATTTTAAAATTCAACGTGAAATTATACGTGCGCCGATGCTGCATATCGTGCCGATGATTGTTAAATAATTTCCTGTTATTGTCTTGGTTGCGCAATCTCTTTGTTACACCGTGATTAGCATATTAGCATAACAATTATTAACATAAAGAATACCGACAATGTACAAAAAAAACCCCGCTATTTACTCGCTTCAGTTATCAAGAGAGACTCAAGAAATCAATTTTCTTCACAATGGTTATTACTTACCGTATTAGTGACATCCGCCTGCATAGGCGAATCGTCCTCAATCCCAGCTTTGACGAGATCATCTTCCTTTTCGTTATCCGGATTATTCAGATACTCGTCGTAATCCTGCTCGAGGCTTTTAGTCTTAACCCGGGTATCGCCGGTCTTGCCCTCCTCCCGATTGTGACCCTTGACCACATCACCGACCGTGTTCCTCGAGGGTTTATGTCCGGCGGATTTGATGGTCGAGTTCTCCGCAGTTCGCTTATTTCCGAAATAATTGGACGTGGTACTGGCGACACGAGGCGCGCTCGTGACGAGTTCCACCGGTCTAGAAACGTTTCTCGGCTCGTACTTGAGATTCTTGTGGCCGTCGCGCTTCACGTGCTTATTCGATTCGGTGTTCCGGTAATCTCTTTTCACGGTGGCCCTCGGAGTAGTCGGGTCGTCGGATGTGAGTCTTCTGATGATATCGTCATAGGTTTTCAAGGGTGGCTTTGTCTCGTTTTTGTAAAAATCATTATCGAGCTCTTCCTCCTCGTTATCTTCGTTTTTCTCGTCGTCGATATCCTTCCAGATATCGTCCTCGTTCTCATCTTTGTCATCTTCCTCGAGCCCCCCGTGATCTTCATAATCTTCGTCCTCTTCCGTCTTTCGGTCGTCCTTTTCCTTCGAAAAATGATATTTTGCGTCCGAGGAATTTGTCCTCTTCCAGTCGTTCATCCATCTCGTCACATCGCCACGTTCGGCGGTGTCCTCACGATCCTCCATGCGATGTCTCTTCGCACCGTAATAGCCGCTTGTTCTGTATCTCCAGTCTTTCCTGGAGGACGCGTATCGCCTAGAATTTTTCCACCGCTCGTAATGCTTATCTGCCCCGCCGTACCTGTGCGGCCTCTCATAGTCGTAATTTTCCTCCGTGTCGTCGTCGAAGTCCGACACGTCGCGATTACGCGAGTACGCCGGCCTATGGTAAGTTCTGTCGGGCCTGTAACGGTGGTGAGTCTTCGTGTTATACCACGATGGGATTCTGCGTCTGTCGTTATTCTCATCGTACCAGCCGCTTCCAGCGTGATATCCGTCGCCGTGATGCCTAAACGGATAGCGCGGCTCGAACATCCGGTTGTAATAACTCTTCTGCACAGATCGATGATGCGATCGGGGATGATCGTAATATGATCGCACCTCGTAGTCGTCTTCGTAGCTCGGGTCCTCGGAATCCCCGTCGTACTCGTAGTCCACCTCTTGCCAGGATTTTCTACCGTCGAGCTCGTGATGGCCCCTTCGATTCGAGGACTCGTGCCTATGCCTATGTCGGTGTCTCGCCTCCGTCGTCGTCGCGTCCTCGCGCTGATGGTACCGGCACTCGACCACGAAGAGGCCGTAAGCCATCAGCAGGCCCAGCAGCAGCAGCAGCCTCCTGTCGCGCGTCATTTCGTCTCCGCAGCACCGTTCCTCTTAGGTCACCTTACATCATCACGGGCCACGTGACTGCGGCTTTCGCGCGGTCGCACCTGTCGATCACCTCCCGATATCTCGCCGGTCGCGTGTCTCTTAACGACGCATCGAGCCGACTCGATTGTCGAGCAGCAGTAGCAACAGCACTCGTGACGATCGGCCGTATTACGTCGATCATTCCATCGATCGAACCGAAACGGCACGCCGCGGCGCCGCACCTGACGATTTCTGCCGATCAGCCGACAATTCAATCTGTCAATTTTCCCTGACCGCAGACTCGTTTCTACCTCTGTCTCTCTAAATTCAACCGCACGTCGCGGCGATGTCGTGGTCAGGTTGCAGTGACCACGTGGTGACCGCGGAACCTGAAACGGCGGGGCAATCCCGAACGCGACTCCCTTTGGCGCGGCTCCAGTGCAATCGGCGACGTAGGAGACCGCTGCGAAAGGACTACGGTGTGCCCGCCACTGATTACTTGTATCACCTGAATCTCACAGAAAATACCGGAATTCGTTCGCGAGGACGATTCGTGACAATGTCATCTCGTGCCGCTCCGCGTTCCGCAAGTTGCCGGTATGGTCTCAAGTAAGAATCTACCCCCTTAATCTTAAAAAAAAAAAAAAAATGTTAAATTACTGTCCACGATTCATCTTATAAGTCAGTTTGTTCACCACGTTCCGGACAATCCAACAACCATCTCCGCGATCGGATTTTTTCATTCACTAGATTATTTTCTCGGGATATTTTTTACGAGCAACCCCTAAACAACATCCCTCGCATGCACCATCCGATCACCATCTGATTTCGGAGTGCGGTGTCACAGGAGTCTCTTCCGTTCACCATCGATTCCTTCGTGAGGGGTGGTTTGCCGTACCGGGACACGGGCGATTCGGTGGAGGTCCCGGAGGAGGACGCGACACGTTCACGCCGAATCGTATCGCGGACAGAATGTCGCGGACGACTGAGGAGTGAGGCCAGCCGGAGCGGCCGGCGGCCTGAGAGATCGCGGAACGCACCGCGCATGCGTGCGAGCGATATTCGCCTCCGCTGCTCCCCTCGTGCCGCACCACCGGCCGTGGTACCCCGGCCGCCGTCGCCTCCTTCGCCCCTTCGTCCTTCGCCTTTACCTCTGCAAGAAACCTCCGCGCACCGGTGTGTTTCACGGACCCCGCGATGATGCACCGTGAAACAATAGGCATCAGCATGGGAAGGGGAGGGAAGGGAGGGCGAGACAAGTTCGCGGACGCGATGGGCCGCATCTCCGCCGGATGCACTTCAGGGGGGGTACGAGAGAGATATACCCCTTAAAAGCCATCACTTCCGATTACTCGGGGGGTGGAGGGGAGGGAGGAGGAAATTGTTTCTTTCTGTATGATATAGAACCTCTGGCGATTCGAAAATAAATCTTTTCGGAAGCAGTTTTCTTTCTGAATTGTAAACAGATAGATTAAGACTTAGTTGGCTATTTTGTCGTAAGATAAATTTAATATAAAGTACGACAGTTAAGAAGGAAACGATGTCTTAGCCTTGTCACGCTTTGCCGAGCGAAGTTGGAGAACTGTGAACACAGGTGTGGTCACGCATCAGAATGTAAACGGCATGTATAAATGGCGTAAGAGCTAACTGATATTTCGATCGAAGTATATTTTTCGAGTGTCGGGATCATTGCGCCTTAAAGTATCGCGGTAGCGATACTTTACGTCGCGTTGTGCGGAAAGCCGGAAAAATCGGAGGTGCATAGACCAATCGTGGCGGGACTTCGTGTCGGTCCTTAGCGTCACGCGTTTGTCGAAACCGGTTTTCAATTTATTTCGAATAGACACGACATTATCCGCATTAGACTCTAGTGGAGGTTGCTTCTTGTCCGCGATAAAAGGCATTAAATTGATTTAATATCGAATGAAGCCCGTGGTACGCGTGTCCGTTCTATCTGAATGTATCTTAATCACGAGCAATTATGAAGCGGATTTAGATAGGAATGATATTTATCCTTTAGTAAAATCTTATTTAGGAAATAAGAGGCTGATTGATTTTTAAAAGCTCTTTATTAAATTACAGTAATTCTGAGATACGCCACTTTATCGTAATAACGATTATATGGCAAATAAAAAATTGTTTACATTTATTTTAGATAAAAATCAATAATTTATTCACGCATAATAAATTATGATAACAAATTAGAGGAAGTAATATCTGCACACGCAAATCTAAGAGTTGAAACAAAGAAGGAACGACAAGTCTAAATGACAAGAAGCATACAGATGTATCTTACAGAAGGATATATGGCCTGGTTTAGAGTTAATGGATGATCGATGTTAAGAACAAGACCGCCATCCATCTTGGGCTTTTGCATAAGTCTTTTTTTTGCGAGCGATTATCCAACAGTCGCCAATGCTTTTAACCGTAGGGGATATCAGTCGCGAGCGACGCTAAGAGGAACGATTTTAATCCCTCGCGGGAAATCTCTCCTCCCACCGATCTCCTTCGTCCGCGACACGCATAACACGCGGAACGTACGTTTCTGTCGCGTCTCTCTCGATTTAATGATCGTCCAGGTCGAGCGACAGTCGACCGGCTGGCCTTTTCGCCGGACGTCCCATTCACTTTCGCGCCGCCATTCAGAGATGAGATTCGGAACGAGAACGATGGCGCGGCGAAATGCGAGCCGAAAGGAGAGGAAGAGAGGTACGTGCCGATAAAAAGGAGAGCAGGAGAAGTCCTGCCGTGATATGTCGAGGAAGATCGAGGAGGAAGCCGCGAGAGAGAGAATGCGAGACGGAGGAAGACACCACCAATCGTTGATGCCGCGATCTTGCCAACCGGTACAACGAGGACTGGTTTTTCGTCGCGCACGGAGGTCGGCAGGTGCTTTTTGTCGCCCCCTTTAAGCCGGCCGCGGTGCTTACGGTGATAAATAAACACACGACAGCCCTCGCCTCACCCCCCGCGTTCGCGGCTGTCACGCTGCGCCCCGTTCCCGATATCCGATCGATCGATCTGTAACGCGCGATCTGTCGCGAAGAAATGTCGTCGGGCATGCCAACCGGACCTTTACCGGCGCGGCAGGAAGCTGGAAAACGGGGAATCGATCGTGCTCCCGCATCGCGAATCGTTTTTGAAGATCGCCTCGGGTCGCTCTCTGTCAGGAAATAGAGTCACCTAACTGATTGTGGCGCACGTGCGTTTTCACGATTCGCATCATTTTGCCGACAACTCGCCGCCACGAGAGATCGGTGAAAGCAAGGCGGCATTTAAAATCAAGTCTCTTAAGTTTCCTTTTTTCTGAGAAACGACGCGCACGAGGCGTGCGTCACGATCGTACACGCACGAGGTGCATCGACGAAAATTTCGGAATTTGCACTTTACGTGCATTATAATCTTGCGAAACGCGCTGGATGCGCGAGAGGGTCAAAATTGCTCTTACGTTGCCGTCATTAAAATATTTCACCGCCAGGCTCATCTTCCTAAATGTCGGGAGTGGGGAGTTGCGTAATAGCGCGTTGGCCACCGCCGCGGCGGCGGAGGCGGAAAGATTGATTTTACAACGCGGAATCTCTATCGGTCACGGCGCGGCGTTTAGCGTCGGCGCGGCGACGGTGGATTTCTCTAATTATTTCACTTTCACGCCCCGTCGGCCGCCCATGTCCGCGTTAATTTGTATATCCACTCGTCGGGACTCGCGAGGGGCGAACAAACGGGCGCTCGTTAACGCCGACTCGTTAAAGCGGCGATTAAATCGCATCCGTCCGACGGAATTCTCCCGTGGAACGCGTGTAATCGCGCGCCGCGCAGATTAACGGGGTGAGAGGTCCGCCCGGTTAAATGAATAGCGGCTGGAAGAATAAATTCTTTTTTCAAGACTCTCTCTCGTACGCGTGCCATTTCGGAGATGCGCTGTGCGCGGCTTTCGCCGTGGATGATGAGACGAACAACCGCGCGCCACGCGTGATCGTAAAGCGCTACGATAATATCCTTTACGTTTTATTATTTACTTTTTATTGCAAGCAAAGCCCATAGCGAAGCACATTTCGTGTTACACGAGCGATAAACGTTGTACGCGTTTGCAAGCACTCCGTTCCGGCGCGGCGTACGGAGGACTCGGCGCGATCGTCCAGATAAAGAACGTTCACAGGCAACACGCGTGGTCACGTGGAGTTTCATCAAGATTTTCGTCGACACGAAACGAGATTAGTCACGCGGATTGGAGCGCGCCTTTCGTGCCCAGAAGAGAGACGGACGCGAGGTACCGATTTGTTCTACTTACGGAACGTAGCGTGCCCGCCCGAATGCAGTGTAGTTATAGTTTTTTCTTTTTCTTACCGACTTAAAGATCCGTGTCGCCGTCGACGTTATCTCGTTCCTTCTATTGATTTCTCATGCACGAACATTTTTCACGTTTTCACAGCTGGTATTCGTGACTTGAAATAATCGTGGATTGCTTAAAATTAAAGCGTGTCTAATGATTAATTATGAACATCTGAAAATTGAATACCTAGTATCAATTAGAAGAAACTTTTTATTATTTGCTACAAAAATTTTGCGAAAGAAAGGCACGTTAAAATACACGCATTTTTCTCTTGCGAAACTCCCACACGAATAAGAGTAATTAGTCATTCATTTAAAAGTCTTACATATTCATAAGTCACAAGTGTGCTCGTACTTTATCATATCTGTAATGATTATCTGGCATAATCGCGTGATATATGCTTTTCTTGATTTTATAAAATCAACACGTCATAACATCTTTTATTAGAGATTATTTGGACATTCCGCGTGTTAACATGGATGAGATAATTTAATGTCGCGAATCATGATTGCGAAAATTGAAACTCGCAGCAAACAAGTTTAAAGAATCTGGTCACGCCCGCCGTATCGATATTGTGAATTTGCATACGAAAGATAATTCTGCGCGACTTCTCTATCAACATGTAGCACGGTTTACGTATGTTTCTTCCGATTTCACGTCTTTCGTCCAAGTTCATCTGGGTTATCGGCGAAGATTGTGCTTTTGGGTCACTTTGCCATTTCGAGAAATGTCACTTTCCGTCTGCGATAACCAATTGGATTTGCATCTTTTTTCGCCTCACACACATTCTCTCTCTCTCTCTCTCTCTCTCTCATCATACATACATACATACGTACATATAAGAAGCGCTAGAAAACTTCTAGAAAATCTGCTTTATTCTTTATATATGACGCATAACACGTTTAGATAGTCTCGACGTTCGTAAAAGCACGATCGAAAGCAGATTGCCGCGCGCGAGCGTCCCGAATAGATTTACCGTAAGTACTCTCGACTTTTTTCGTTACAGAAATAAATCACGCTCAACACGCTAAAAGCAGTTGGGAGGGAAGAGCTGGCAGGAACCGGGACTATAGGTTCGGGATTCTCGCTTCAAAGCGAGAAAAAAAGAACGGGGAAAAAGAGCCGCGCGGAACACCCGCCGTGGCTGCAATCACCGGGGATGCATTTTCGTCCGACGCGGTCGCCGCGCGGCTCTCTCGCACACGTAGAAAATCCCATTTTGCACGGCGCACCTGCTGAGTGGCCACGCGAGAGATGGGGCGACGAGGAACGCGTGTCGGAGTCCGATTGTGATAACCGGAATAGCTTCTTCTGTAATCCCAAGGCCGCCGGCACTTCGTCGCGCGACCTTTGACACCACGACCGCGCTCGCACCGGCGAGACACCTCCCGCGGTACTTCTCGCGGATCCTCCTCTTCTTTCACCACGTTCACCTTGAGATACCAGCGGCGAGTATCCTCCGCATGCGAGAGAAAGTGTCCTGTCGTTCCATGAGTGCTCGTGACGCGTTTCCGCTTCGGAAAAATGTGTTTCTTTAGTTGCAACGTCAATTAACTGTATCGTTTGTCTCTATGAAATACCACAGCGATACATCCGAAAATCTCTCGCGAGATTTTTCTTCTTCTTCCTCGTCTTATAAGTTCTCGGAATTTACTGTCACTGTAATAATATTTTCCGTCGGGTAGCACGAGCGGAAGCGCTTCTAAGATAACTAGACGACAAACAGAGGAGAGCAAACCCTAACGCGTACCCTATTACACCCTGTGTCTTAAATGCAAACATCGTTCATGAGAACCCTTTTAACTTCCTTCAACTTTTTTAGCCCCGTTCTAGTTAACAGGAACAACCCGCAGCTTGTTGAAAGCGGATCTTTGTAATATTCTTTTACAGCACCATAAAAATGGAAGCGATGAATAGAGGTTTAAAAAACGTTAGTTGTTACCATGCATAAATTGCGCGGCCTAACTCTGATATTTAATGTCATACATAAATCTATCGCGATGCTAGATAAAAGCTAAACATCAGCATAATAGAGAATGCCATTGTTACAATGTACGATTATTCTGACAAATCTGTGTTGGATTACCTGTAACGACTGTGCGTCAGACATTTGCACATTTCATCTTCACAGATAATTACGTATGACAATGGTGAGCAGGCGCTCTGTTGAATTAGCAAACAATACCAGCTATTTTGTTCTACTAATTTGTTACACGACGCATAGAACGACACAATCTTACGAGAGTGTGATCTCTCAATTTTTCTAGGTTTACTTCATGCTGGTTTTATTTAATGATTTTTATTTAAAGTTAAAAAGATTTGTTCTCCTCTGAGACTAACAGAGCGTTTTATACTAATTCGATATTCGGGATAAATAAATGCCGACGAAGTTTTCTCAATAATTTTGCATAATTTTATTGACTCGTTATCAAACGCAGTGCACTCTCGCACCGTATACTGCATTTTTTTTTAATCCTTTGGCTTAAATACGTAGCTTATATATAGAGACTAATATAATTTTTTTTTGCTGCACCTAAATCGGAGATATGTTAAACGCAGGTACGGGGCGGTGAACATTACAAAGGGACATTAAACACATGAGTGCGCGCGCAAGTACGTTGTACTTGGTACGAAATTACGTAAAGCGCGCTCTCTTTTTATATCGCTGTTTGTACTTCAATAAAAAAATTCAGGACAATTTCTCAGACCGCGTGTCCTTCATATATAATGGTTTTCTTTTATGCAATAAGTAATTGCGATCGATTGCTTGTATGTGTATGTATGCGTGTGTGTGTGCGATGGAGTTTATCAATTGATTTATTAACATACGTGTAATATAATATTAAGAAACTTTTTAGACATTAATTAACATTAGGTAAAGCGTTACTGTTTATCAACGGTATTAAAGTGATTCTCGATATAATTGAAACTACCTACACATACATATATGCAGGTTATCTTTTTTTTTTACGATTTATCAAGTCAGATATATTAAAAAAAATATTTTTAATTTATACAATTCGGGATTGTTTTGCGTGACGATTTTAAGTACAAATTGTATCGACAAAACGAACGTTATTTTTTTTTTACCTGGATAGAGGCGAATTTCGTGTGGAAAATATCTCGCATTGGAAATCGTTCGCTGCAACGACTAATCGAATATCGCGAGAGAGGTACGTCTTAAGAAATGTAGCCGCGATGAATCGGACGAAGACCCGATCGAACGATCGCGATGGCGATCAAACGATGATATAATTCATGGCGTGCGATCGTAATCGGATTTCGTCGTTCGTTCGTACTTTCGTTTCTCCGTCGAGAGGCTCCCGGAACGGAGGGGTCCAGAGTCCTCCTTTTATCGAATTTCGCCGCAAGTCTACATCTGCTAGCCTACGATCTTCAATGCTTACAGCATCCTCGACAGGACCAGAAGCGCCATCGATGCGCCCAGAGTCATCATCACCGCGGGTGTCATCGCGGACGCGCCCGAGAGATTGAGCTTGCTCCTCAGGTCATTCGGCACGTCCACGTACACCTTGTCGATGTCCACTTCTTTGATCAGCTTCGAAAGTTTCGCGGGATCGACGGAATCGCCCTCCGCTGACCAGATCGTCAGAGTCGCATTCTTCGTGTTCTTCAATAACGCCTTCATGGCATCGATATCGTTTACCGCGAGTCCAGCTCGTACGGGATAAGTTACCGGCTGGGTGACACGACTCTCGGCAACAGTGTCGACCATCTTCTTGAGCTGCTCCGCGCTGTATCGACCCTTGGTGATGTTGAACTCCTTTCCGTACCTAAAATATTGACAGGTTGCTGAATTTTTGCCACACATTATGCGACGAAAATTAAAATTAGCTCCTGATTGCTTTATTAGTATAACGAGGAGAAATTCTTTCGCAAATGCGCTGAATATCTATGCATATTATTGTGTTTAAAAAGTATCAAATTTGATTAGAACCTTATGGATGCAAATAGTAATTATTTTCTTATGAGTGCAAATAGTATAATTATAATAGTAAATAGCAGTAATTATTTTCTGTTCAATTTAAAGATTTTTTTTATATTATTCAGCCTATTAAGCTTTCAATGTTCTCGGTATAATATATGTCAATATAATACACGTCTACTATTGACGTGCATCCAATACATATTTCATTGGTGCGCTAAGTTGAATTATCTCTCCTCTCTCTCTCTCTCTCTCTCTCTCTCTCTCTCAGGGATTTATATTTATAACCCCTTTTTTTATAAGAGATCTTGTCCCGTGAGGGTCACAATATATGTTTCTTTGCTTATACGGCTGATTAATTACAAGGTTGCATATTAGAAACTGCGGTTACTCTTATCACTATGCACGTAGATAGTTGTTTACCTGGTTGTCCAACCAATAGAGAGGATAGCGTCTGGTATGATATCATTAGCTTCTTTTATGAATTCTTTCCCGACAAGCGGAAGAGTAGCGTTGACTGGCCCAGAAAGAATGTCCGCATTGAGGAAAACTGGACGCTTCAACTGAACAAACAAATATTTTTTTATTTATTGCACTTCGATTGTATTCTACATAATCTAGTGGTACATTTATGTGTATACGCACGATCGGTTGCCACTTTTTAAGAATGGACTTGCTGTTGTTGAAAGCGTCATTTGTCTTGAAATCCAGCTTGATGCCCTTGCTGCCGTTAGTGTTGGTTATATTGAGGAACTCCTCGAGCGACAGATCGCTCTCCGTGTTCGGTGGATGCGCCATTATCGGGATTTCGCTGGTATTGTTGGTATTGTTAAGTTTGCCCATCACGACATCGGCCTCCAGCATCATGACATCCCCTTTAAAAAGGAAAGTCGGTTGTCTGCGGGTACGTGTGCTTATGCGTGCGCGCGAGAGAGAGAGAGAGAGAGAGAGAGAGAGAGGTGTGTGTGTGTGTGTGTGTGTGTGTGTGTGTGTGTGTGTGTGTGTGTGTGTGTGCGGCAGCAGCCGCTGTTGAGACGACCGGTTGGGCGGGAGGGTTCCGGGTATGTGCATACACGTGTGGCGAATATCGATCACGCCTAAAGAGGCTGGAAGACTGCCGGATCCACACACATCCACCAGTGTTAACGCTCGAACGACCGAAAATTCTGGCTTTTCCGAGGCCGAAAGCGACGGCGACAGACTCAGCGTCGCTTCAGAGGACCCGTGTGCACGAAGGGACGTACGATTTTTGCAGTTTTTACGAAACCCGTTCTTTTTTTGCAGCTATTAAAGAGACCGTCGCGCTTTGAGGAAGATTCGCCGAGGGATTACGAACGGGGGAGGATAAATGTTCTTCTGACATAGTAAAAAGATAGTGGAAGATTTTATTAGAAACGTGCAATGGGCGTACGATCAACGCGATGGATTTAGCGGATTTGATACGATTTTCATCGTTGAGTGACGTACTCAGGCGCGGAATTGAACAACGAAGGTCGTCTTTTCATCGGCTAACGACTACCTTGACGTCTCATTAAGATTCAGCGGGGGCGCGGATACGCCTTACGAAAACTCTCGCGTCAGACGTGACTGCGTACAAATGACTTATCTATGAGGATCCAGTCGTACACACACACACACACACACACACACACACATAAAGATAAAGAAAATTTAAATTCGAGAGTTTTTTTTTCTTTCCAAGCGCGAAGTCGAAAGAAGCTCCTCTAAGTCCGTATTTGACGCGTTACCGCATCCGTCCGGAATCGTGATACGAAACGCGCGCATGTGTGTGTGTCAGACAGGAAAGATGTCTCGAAAAACGTCGAGATTAATCTTGACGCGACTTATATTTTATACACGCGCTTCGTGAAAGCTCCGTGAAAGAAATCTCGGGGGATGCAGACACCGCGCGGCGTTGAGAAGCCTCTTTCCCTCGCTGTCGATATTTCTGGAAGCACACTTTTCAAGGACATGCCGCTATTATTTAAAGCGCGCCGATGTAAAAATACGTGTCATCGTATGCGGGTTGTGCACACAAAGGCGCGCACAATCGGACGATATTGATATATGGGAATATCCATGAGAGAGTGACAAACGCAAAAAGCGCTTGGCATTGAAGGCCGGGGGGCCGTGCGTATATGTTAGCGAAATGCCACGTAGTTCATTAACTAATAATACGTTGACGGTCGATGGAAGTCGCGAACTTGCGGCAAATTAGCGTCCTTCTATCAAAACGCGACATTTTCGAAGTTATCTTTTCCGACAGGTACGAGTTCTCAGCATTAAGTATTTACCACGAATTGTTGCCCGTCGTTTGCAAATAGTTTCGCGATGACGCGTCAGATGGATATCTAAATTGCTGCATCATATTACTGCGTCTTCAGCGGTTGTTTTTCCTTCGGATATCGCTAGAGTATCATTGCCCGTCGCTGATCATTTAGAGAGTCTTATCATATAATTATTATATTTTGCAATTTTATTGATGTTAGATAGCGTTAATGTTAATATTAACTCTCGAGCGTCTCGTGTGTCGAAAGCAAATTTCGTTGCAGTAATGCCTATGAAATTATTTCTCGAATGTCGATCTTTTTTTTTGTGTCGTTTTGCATTTAACATGAGATTGCTTTATTCGAGAACTCCCAGGTTACAAGATTTCGTCGACCGAGCGGAAAATTGAATAAAAAGCGACCAGAAAATAACGCATGTCACCCGCGGGACCGTTCCGTGATTAATAATATACATGTTCATTCTCGATATGCAACGAACCGTATTCAGCTATCGGATTGAAACGTAACTTGATTTGAAGCCAGCCTGATTTAAAGCCAGTATTTTAATAATGCCTATTAGCATTCTCAAATCAAAAATTTCTTTTTCGCCAATTCTATCTCGAAAACAATTCCAGGGATATTTACCAAAAAGCCAAATATCAAACGTCAAATATCTCTTCATGGTGATACCGACGTTTCCCGGTAATGTCGGCGGTATTTGAACACGCGAGAGAGTAACCAGAGCAGCGTTCGTCTGTCTCCCTATCTCTCGAGTGCAATAAGCGAAGAACGAAGGAAAGTCCGGGGTCGCGCTTCGTCGATTGCAGTGCCCATCGACCTACCTGACGAGAGTGCCTTCTCCAATTTCGCCTGGCTGTTGACAGCATGCGCCCAGACGATCTTCGTGAGATTGCCTTTGACATTCGGAAAGAAGTCGCTTGGAGAGCATATGCGCGTGCAGTTGGTCTTGCACATGGCAGCCTCTGAAACATAAGAAAGCCCCCTTGGTCATTATTATCAGGATCATTATTATCATGCGTTTTCGCATTCACCGCGATACACGGACTTGACCTTCCCCATCGGTATTCTCGGGACCCCGCCCCGACCCATGACCCCAATATTCGACTCGATGTGGCTCGCTCCATAATTGAGCGAGGACTCGAGAATTCCTCGCGCGGCGCGGCGACCGTCGACGACCGAGAACCTCCGTCTCCCCCGCTCTCCTCCTATTGTGCCGTTCGATCGATAATCACGTTCATTTGTCACGTTCGTTATGAGGGGCTTCCAACCGCCGTCCCCAGCAGCCAGCTGCGCATTTCGCGATCAGTGAGAACGAACGACCGCGTGAATCCGGGGGTCATCTCGCTGAGCGATACATCGCTTCTCACGATGGCACGGATTTCTTTTGTTTTTCTTTTTTATTTTATTTTATTTTATTCTCTGCGCTGATTTTCTCGACAGCATGGATACGAATAGAAGGGTGTTATGCATATACGAAGCCGTGATCGTACATACACAGTCGGGATGAATTAATAACGGGATTGCGTCGATTTACATCGTCGCGCGTTCGTGGAAAATTCCAACGGCTCACTCTTTCCCCGGTGGATTAGATCATTTCCGGTATATCTCAGGGGCCATGTGGCGAGCAAACTTCGCGCCCGTCGAGTGATCCCTCCGAGCAGATTGCGAGGGCAGATTGGTCCTCCCGCCGAGCCCTTTTGACAACATCTTTTTTATGAACGGCTAACAACCGATTTGCGTCATAGCTGGCCGAGATCCGTTAAAAAAACGATCGCTTTTATTTTTTTAATTTTGCGAGAAATCTCGCAGAAAAATAGGAGAATTCTCTTTTGCAGCAAAACAACAAATATTAAATTATTACCTTTTCTAAATATAATGATTAAAAGTTTCTTTCTGTTTTCCTCAAGAAAGAGAACTGTGACAAAAACTTTATAGACATGTTACACTCGGGAACAATGCGGGCGTGTCATTTAAAGTCTAATACCGATATCGACCATAATAAGAATGTTTCCAGCGGCTAATCAGCTTAAAATCGAAAGACATTGCTTGTTCCTCGTCTACCATCAGCTTGTAACTGGAGCGCAAAAAACTTCGCGGTGAACCTCTTTTTCTACATAGCCCGCAGGCTGGCGTGATTAAATTACTATGCTCGTTAAGTTGCTCGGAATTTATTTTCTGCAGATTTCTCTGTAAAAAAGAAACAATCTCGCGAAAAATCGATAACTAGCCACGTAGCCGCGCCAATGATTCCGGCTGACTCGTTTCCGGTCCAGCGATCACGGGGTGAAACCCAGACTCACGCTGAGCAATAGAGAAACGCTGAGCCGATCTTTTTTTTTTCTAAGGATTAAGGATTACCAGCCTCTTGCCCGTATTATTTCCACTGCACTTTGTTTAACTAATAATCGTCGCTATCTGAACATTAATATTCTAGGATTGTGTATCCTCTCTTTTTACAAAAACTTTAAATCTTTTTATGAAATTCACGCTGCGACGAGCAAGAAGGACATCGAACACGAGACACATGCAGGGACATCGTTATTGGAAAATATTTGTATTATTTATGGGAGATCGAGAGAAGAATACGTCATTACATAACAATAATTTACTCATGGAAGAAACTGTTGTAAACGAATTGCATTTGCTACCGTAACAAAGTTGGCAGCCACTCCCGGATTAATGTAATAACATTTCTACGGAGTGCCTCTCATTAGATATATGATACCGAGGGAATGACTCAGCAAATAGTACTTGAATTGGTCATGCGATGTTATGTTTATTCCGATCCTCGTCACCTATGGTGTTTCATTTAGAGAGCAAGTTCTCGAATATCTTCTTTCCTAGACATCTCCGCGCGAATCGCTCGAGAGACATTACTGTTTATACGGTTCTGCGCACTTTGTCCGAAAATCTAAGCTACCCGCTGCTACGTTCTGGTAGGCGCATATCGCCGCTACAATGTCTTCGAAACGGCCGTTTCCGGTCCGGCGATCTCGCACAGAGACCATACTGTGCTCAAACCGGTCCGACCACGGGGGAAAATCTCGAGAGCGGGCCTTCTTTTTTGTTACGCGTACGTCGAGGTCCGCTCGCGCGACCGAGCGCTATGAGATCGAGGCAATTGAACTGACCTCGACCGAGCTTAGGCCAAACTAATCGGTTGGACAATTGGCCGTCTGTTCCTTCGAGGTGCAACGTTTCCCAACAATGCGACACGTCACATTGCACCGCGTTTTTCCGGGAATTTTATCGTCGCGTCTGGAAATTTCTCCGTATCTCGGAAGAGATATTCCTGTACGTGACAAAAATAAACATTTGTTTTGATATCACAGTTTGATATCGGCTCGATATACATCAGATACTATAAATATCTCGAGCAGAAGTTTCCACAATTTTTAGTATTTTTAGCATTGATAATCTGTCCTACCTCTTCACTGATTTTCAAGATTTTAACGTGCGTACGGCATAAGTAAGAAATCTAATTTGAATACAAAAAATTAGCATTAAATTAAATTCCACTTAAATCTACGATTATTTCATAATGTTTTGTGAATTGCACAATCTGTTATTTATCTTTCGACTTTATTACAACTTTATCGACACATGTCAAACGTAAAACTGTCAAGCTGTCAGATCAAGCTGCTTTTCTCGAATAACCAATCATGTTATGCGATGCATACGCCTTGAACAGCATACGCCCAAACTGTTGCGACTTTACGTATTAGGGCATTTGCGGCACGGTCAAGCGAAAGGTCTTCATTGATCGGAAAGTGCCCAACTTCTTAAATGACGCCATAATATATACATGATGGTAACAATCGTGACATTTTCGCTATTTACCCAACTATTTATACGCGACGCTACAATAAAGCTCCTTATAAGTGGAAATATCCATCATACGATTTATAAAATAAAACGAATCAATTAAAATTGAAAATAGAAATTCTGATTGATTGACAATTGATTTTAATTTTGAGGCTGAATTTTTTAAGGCGACTAGTAATATATTTATACATAATATATATGTACAAAAAAATTAGAAAGGAAGAACGATATGCATCGAGAAATTCAATCGAGAAAAAAAAACGTTTATAATACGTAATGTAATATAGTGTATCCTCTCTCTCTCTCTCTCTCTCTCTTCTATCTATGTGTCGGAAAACTATATAGAAAATAAAATGATTATAAAATGTTTCCTGTCTGTCTCACGTGGAATTTCGCCTTGGCGACTTTTGATATTTCCAAAGCGAGCGTCAAGCCTTATCGTGGTTCTGTTCGTCGGAGAATGTCATGAACGATGTATCGGCTGCCCTTCAACTGCGCAACATTTCGAGCGCGGTTTTATCGCGGTCTGTATTTTCTTAGCTTGTACATCGATGCGACGTATCACGGGGATATGACGAGGATGCAACGGGGATATCGAGCCGGGGCTTCCAGCCCCGCGAGCAAGCGTCGCCGTCTCTTGCGATACAAAAGAATCCGATGCCCCTCGTAGGCTGATAGAAGCATCTTTCACGCGTCACTGCGCTCCACAGAATTTGCAAATAGCCGCGACTACCGCCGATCTCTCTTCCGCTTAGAACGCGCTTTCGATGGCTCGCTCGAATCGTCTCGCTGGCGAGGCGGATCCCGGAGCGCGTTTTCGCCTTAGTCAGCCGGCTAACAAAGCGTGACTTATGGCCGCGTCTGTTACCGTGGAACTTAAGTCTCGATTAAGGTGAGAATCGAGAACCGAAAGTCGAGAACCGGTCGAGAACAGCAGTTTGGAACTTCGAACAAAGTTTGATATCTCGGATTTGCGTAACGGAATCTCTCACTAGTTAATCCAAGCTCTACACAGGCATGCAGATTGAGTCAGAGATTATTTGCAACTTTTATAGGGATCAGGAGGAACTTTTTTTTACCAGGAAAACCGATATTTCTAATCTTTGTACGGAAAAAAAGTCGTATAGCTTTTTAATTCATTCTAAGTATCCTTCGAAATCGATATTTCTAAATTCTCGATTTTAAATAATTGTTGATGTAACAGCAATATAATTTATGATTCGATATTCGACTATCTTTAATTTCAGGTGGATCATTACGAATTGTAACGATTAACGATTCCGTGGCCGCAAACTGTGCGAATCGAAGTGTGATTTATGCGCGTCATGAGGCCATGATAATATGTAATATTGACAGATTGGCTGGCGATAAACAAATAATAGCTCATGAGCCACCTGCCGCACTTGTTTCGAGCTGTTTAAACTTAAACTGGCGATTGTATCTCACATACTTTTAGGTAAAGTATGATCGTGCCTCTCTAAGTTGATTATTCCGACGTTTACCGAACTCTCGCGTAAGATCCTGGTAGTGTCAGAAGTGGCGCTTTGGCAATAGCATCAGCAAACGTCGAATGTTCATGCGCCGCAGCGAGGAATGGCTCCGATGGGATGGACCGTTTTACGGATTTACGCAACGAAATGTATGTTCGATACTGTTGCCGAGTAACACGGCACAATGTTAATTTAACTTGCAAATAGATTGCGATTGATTTTCGGAGGGCGTACGCCGTTCCCGTGTCAACACGCCTGTATTATATTATCAATATAATACAAGACCGAGACATGAAGCCCTTGATAAAGACAAACCTCGCATTAAATTAAGAAACTTTCGTCGTGGATTTCGTCGGGCATAAAAGTTTGACAAAGTTTTAGAATTCGACCTCTGCTTACACGTGTAGGATATCGATATCGCGTTTGACGCTAAATTTCACTTGAAACTCGTTCCAACAAACCGATTAATTATGAAAGGTATGGCTACCTGACCAACTCAGACGTCACACACGCATAATAATAAATTCAGGTGATTATTTTTCGATTACGACTGGATAGAAGCAGTACGGATTATTTACAATTTACATGATTTACTTAAGCGTACAAAAAATAGAGAAAGAAGTATGATTATTGAACAAGTAGATGTTCTCGTTTCGTCGTTTTATAATTGTGCTTAAATTTGATGCTTGCGTGACAAAAGGAAGCATTAAAAAAATTTTTCTATTTCTCTATAAATAAATTAGAATTTTTTCGTTCAACGGGCTAACAGGCCGTATCGGTTCTCACGCGATTTTTCTCCGATCTCAATCGTTTTACGCTCGAGCGTAGATCACGATTCACATAATCGATTCGCTAGCGTTGTTGCGCTCCCGTTGCCGAAGTCAACGACCGCATTTACGAAGTCGGAGAATTTCCAATCTATATCTCTCAGTCGAATTCACGTCGGCTCGGACACGCTCGCCAGACACGGGGAGAAGTGCGAGCGTACCACACTTGCACCCCGCAGCATGCAACCGAACGGACGAGTGCTCTGCTCCGCTTATCGTGAATAAACACGCTTTTATCAGAGCACATTTTTTTTCCATCTCGTGTAAACCGTATTATTACGAGCGGATTCCAACGCAGGACGCGTGGAACTCGCTTCAAACGCGGCGACATCGTGATGATGACTCACAATCATTTCCTTCGCTTCAGATAAGAACGTAATTCTATCTCCGCGATGTCTCCGCATACAAAATCTCCTTTATCGGAAACGATAATAAAACCGGTGGACCGGTAAATATGTACATTATGACACACGGTCATGTGGTACGCTGAAGTGATTCTGCTCTGTTTCGGATAAGTATTCCTCGATAATTGGTTCGCAAAGGGAGGAGAGTGCAGGCGTTTAAGCAGCGAGTCGCGAAATGTGTAGCTTCGCAATATGCTGAGTAATAACATCGCGATCCAATGGCTTGTTGTGTCTTTTTCCATCGTTCAGCAGCTTGATATAATTATTTACGACGAGTCATTGTACTTCCTTCCCTCCCAGTTTGTGCAATCGATGATCGAAGCGGTTTTGTTTTCTCGTCACTATTTAGTAAACATTGTTTTTGCTGTTACAGCGAAATATAACACGCGATCATTTAACGTTATCATTTCTATCGTTCATGTGTACCTGCGTGAATGAGTGTATGCCACGATGACTTGCAATACGTAATATATCATAATATTGTTCGCGAATTATTTATGCGCGATACTGAGACATTTACATACAACTACCGCGTGATTCAGGTTAGTAAGCGAGAATTGCGCACGAAACGAATATCTTTTTGACATTTTGAAATTGCGTGGATGTCATGTGCAATTCTCTTGAGTTGTAAGTTCCAAAAATATACGCTGAATCGTTAATAAACAACTAACTAATTGCCGCGCCTGGCTAATCGCTCTTACCCACATCGTTTACTTTTGTAATGAGAACCACTTACATCACGAGAATTTTTAGCTTTCCTACGCTAATTATTTGAGCGTGTCATGCAGCCGTTTTCATCTTTATTGATATCCTCCTCGCGAAAGAAGTACACCCATTCTTCGATTTCAGAGAAAGAACGTCCTATCCTTACACGGTTACTTACGTCTTTCATTGTTGAATCGTTACGAAAATCGAGTCTACGATCGAAATTTCAACGAAAAGGAGTTATATCGGCCTCGTTATTTTTATATCTTCCGCCCTGTGCGCTTACAACATAAACTGCGGGCGTGGACAGGCAAAGGTGCGCTAAAAACAGTTTATTTTCGTACTATTTTTGCGCGGTATGTAAGTTACATGCCACCATCGCCATGGTCACGACGTTAATCTATTTTTGCGGACGCTTTATAAGCAACAGCCGTGCTAGCGTACGGATCGTAGTTACGCCTTTGATAGTACCAATTGCCCGTTCTTCTGCAGGCAACACGACGAAAAAATGCATTCGAAAAATATTTGTTCTCACTTGAACAGAAAACGATTGCGTAATTGTCTCGTTGAGAGGGATTTGCTTTCGATTACGAATCGGTTTGCACTGTTCGCGCATCAGTAACGAGAGACATGTATTTTTTTCCACGTTGAACGCGAAGAAGTTGGAAAAAATGTACGATAGGTCTTATGACCTACTTACGTATACAGGGGAGGAGGAAGGAGGAAGAAGCCGACGGAAGGAAGCGACGTGCGCGGTCGTGCACGGCAAATATTGCCTCTATGTGTGTGTCCCGGGGATTAATTGTGCCTCCGTCGCGCAATCGAGCGGCGGCTAAAATTAAGGGCTAATTTAATGTAAGACGTTAAAGGCCTGGTGGAGCATGCGAACGTATATACGTCGAACCGATGTGCGTCACCGTGAGATTATTATTAGCGATCGATTGGGGGGACGGATCGAGATGAGAAGAGGATATATTATATGTCATCGTTCTCCGAAATCCTACTACCCTCCAACTATACCCTCTCAGTTTGGAGGGCTTAACGCGGCAGAGATTGAGTTTATTCTACGGGAAAGCCGCGGTTGCGGTACAACCGACGGAGGTGTGGGCGAAAGAAAATTGAATTCACTATACAATCGGCGTTAACCGAAGTTGCTCCGAGCGCTCCTGAATCTCAGACCTCGTTACCATACTTCCGTAACGTCCGTCCCTCTCTCCGCTCCTCTCTAATTGGGGCATTGTGTGCCGCGAATTGATTCAAAACTGCGAAACTTTCTTATTCTACGTCGAAGAAATGACTTTCCGTCGACATTATTCATGTACTCGTCGCGACGTCGAAGACGTGCCGGGACATTTGAATCGACGTGATCTATAAAAAGCCTCGGTCGTAAAGTCACGATCCGCCGAGCAGCTCGCTCGTCCAGGTCGGCGACGGTCTATCGTAGATTTCATTGTCTCGTCGCGGGATAAATTTTTTCGACCCTCATCTGATTTCCATTCGCGCAATCGAGCGGCGGCTAAACCGAACAGGGAATTCCGAACGCGAGACTTACGTCGCTAAGCCGCGGCTTTGAAAACTCCATCCGCTCCGTGCGCTCGATGTAAACTTTTCTCACACGACTTCATCGGAGAAGCTCTTTTCCTCCCGATGGACGTGGCGAGGAGAAGAGTGCAGGCGCGACAAAAAAAGAAAATCGATACGTCTATTAGAGGAGCGTTTGGGTTTTTCGATGCACGAAGCGCGAGCGAGGCCACACGTTTTACGACGCCGCGCGGTCGAAAGAAAGATACGCCAGATCTCGATTTCACGATCTGCTAAGTGTCAGTGCTCGTAACCGTCGTGCAGGATGCGGCTTTAAAATAGGATCGATACACAACGTCCGGTTTTGCGGAGCAGCTCCGTTCGCGAACTGCTTGCCAACGGCCAAAGACCATTCTCACACGGTGATTTATGTTCTCTCGTAAGCCTGAACGTAACGGCTGTTATGTTCGCACATCAGCGAACTGTCAACAAACTAGGTTTGCGCCACGTATGCTGTCGCTCGAGGCCAAACGAGCAGTTTCTAATATTCTTACATGACAGTATTCACTTCAACAATATTTCTTTATTGTCGGAGTAACGTACGAGATGTTTTTTTTTTCGGATTAATAAGCGGAGCACTGGCTTTAATAATATATTATCGCGAGCTGTTTCTCGATTCTTAACGCGTAAAATAACATGAATTGCAAATCGTTCACTAATAATTGACTTCAAGAAACCGTAATAAAAATGACCATTCAACCATGTACAGCTCGATCAGCACAAATTTGTCATTTATTTTTGGTGAACAATGCAAAATGAAACATAACGTTTGCCCCAGTTAGTCGCAGAAACGTATATCTTTCGAATGATACCCCAGTTTCTGTTCTACACGTATACGATAGAACAGCTGCGGTTACATTAAACTTACGGATCACCGCCAGCAGTACAATAGTCACGATCGTGGTATTCGCCATGGTCCCTCGGCGTCGAAAATCTCGATTGGGGTGGCCGACAAAAGAAGGGACGGGCAGGCGCGACAAGAGCAGAAGCAGCGACGGTTTCAGACGGAGAGAAAGACACACAGCCCGGAGTGCGCTCCCCACGGCTCTCGACTAGACACCCGGTCAACTCGGCAGCCTCGAAACGACTGACTGTCTCCACGGGAGCGGAGCGGAGCCGTCGGCCGATCGTCGAAATCCGCGGGCGCACGTAATGGCACGTACAGACCGTCGGTCATATTTCGCGGCGCCGCAACGCCGCGCCGGTACACACGTGCTCTCCTGCCGCCGCGTCTCCGGGGGGTGGGGAGGGTGGCGAGGGAGGGGCGCCCCCCGTCCGGAAGCGCGAATCGCAAAACGCTGACGGGGGACGAAGCGAATCGACGACAGGGGCGAGTGTATAACGCGGGCAGCGGAAGGGCGATGCATAGCCGATTCGAGACGCCAAGGGTTACGAAGAATCCGTCGTCTCGAATGCGGCCTCTTATCGCGGCCTCGGCGCCGCGCGGGATTTCCGCGTGGGACGTTCACGTTGGATCATCGACGTCGTCTATCGTACTTGCGCGATCGGAAAAGGGAGAGCCGGGAGGGGGACGTACGTGCCATTGCGGAAATATCGGGCCTCCGGACAGGTAGACCGCTTGTCACGCAGAGAGACAGAATATCTGCATCCGAAGGTTGCACGGAAACGCTTTCAGTGTGTAACCGAAGAAAAAGAGATCCGGTTTTTTATCCGGCACCCTTTCGCCGCCCGTTGAACTGTACGTTGAAGGGGTAACGGCTTTATCCTACCCCATACGAACGGGGGTAGAAAATCATGCGAATAATGTAGCACAGATACGACAAATTGTGCAATAGAAACGAAAATAAAAGCTATAAAAAAAGTCACCTGTGTGATTATAATCTATAAAGTCTTGTTGTACGTAATGCATAAAGCACATTCTGAAACACCCTTTAATGTACAATAACATGGCGCAATCTAAAGTAAATAACCGTGTGACTATTTTATTTGCGATTTTGTTGCTGTTACAAGGTTGCTGCGCGACATTTCCACCCTCTAGCTTCGTATATAAATGGGGAAATTTGTGTGGCGACCTTTGAAAACACAAGAAATTGATCAAACAATAAAAGCTTTAATCAGTCGCCTAGTCTAGTGATAAGGGTACGATGTTTTATCAAGATCGCATTCAATTAATTCTGCGGTGCATTAAAGGTAACACCCGTATATAAGCGACTTAATCGATTGAAACGGTGTTGATGGGGTTTCTAACAGGACCAACAGTTTGTGCGTCATAAGCACAATGAGTTCACGTTGTTATCGCGTGTTGTTTTACGCCGTGTAACTCGCCGTGGCTGCGGCCAACATGTGTTCGGTACAGGATCCCCAAACGAGCCGTAAATTCAACGACCGGGGGTCCTTGCCGCGTGGCGTGGTGGGGTGAAACATCTGCCGAGGGTTCACGATTGAAGGGCGTTTCTATAAACACCAATCTTGTAAAACTTCTATGATTCATGGATCTCACCGTTCTATTTTTCTTTTTACGACAAGAAACTTCTTCGACCAAATGTACCTTAGTTGAAACAAAAAGAGATCACACATAGTCGAAGAGGACGTTCAACATTTTCGCTCACATACACACGTCGATCGTAGTGGGAACAATTCCATTTACAAAAAATTCTTTATTTTGCGAAAAAGGAAAGTCTATTTTTTTTTATGTTACTAAAACTGCGTTCGAGAAGCGTTCAGCGGGTTGCTATCAGCAATGTTGCACCATTTTTTGACCTTGTCTTACGTCTAATTAACGATAAAGTAATAACATAATAGCTCTGATAGCGCGCTTCCCAAACGCAGCCTAAGATAAGCATATACTTATTTTCTACGTTCTACTTCTATATTTCTACACGTCTATATTGTCACAATTGTTTTAATCTTTTATGTAGGCTAGCATATTTCGACGAATTCGTAGCATTACGCATAAAGGAACGATTCGTAATCGAGAAGATGTTATTCTGCAAATTGCTCTTGTTGGCACAAAAGATTATAAATTCCTTACGATCAGCGGAATTCTGAGAAATCAGGTAGATGTGCAAGCATATCATCTTTCCTAGGCGTGACTAGATTAAACACTTTTTTGACATCAAGTCGTCAAATTGTTACTCATAACATTATCTTGAATCATCCTGCAGTTGTATCATATGACAAGACTGTGCGATATGTCAGACGTATTATAATATTTTGTGGAAAAAATAACGGGTTTCATTGTCTCGCCGTGCTGACAAAAACAATTTACAGGATGATGAAGGTTAGAGTGTTTTACCGAATTCATGATTAATTACTCCCTGTATACGGTGTCCAGCACGCGATTCATGATTGCTTAATTACCTACTACATATATTAAATGTTCCAATGAATCGACGATGTATCTCGTTTAGAAAGAAGCCGTAATAATTGTTCGCGGTTGCAGTAACGGAAATACAGTCATAATTATACTTCTGCGATGAGATAAAAGTCAGACCCTTTGATATACATACAATTTTAATTTAAATACAATTAATTAAATATCAAATATATTAATCGTGTGCATTCTACATATTGATGAATTTTCGGATCTCCACGATCTACGTTTAGCAATATTATTCATTTTTAGAATATATTCGTAATTAATCCAAGTCTCGGATATATCGCTGTCTTAACGCGATATCCGTTCTTGTAAGGGGCACAAACGCAATTATTGTCCACGTGTATAAGTTGGCACGACGGGTCAGGCGGTGTTAATGAGTTAATTAGTTTCACGATACGAGCGACACGCCATTTTTGCAGAAGGGCGACTTATTTATTTAACGCTGGAATTGCGGCCCTTTTGTGCCGTTTAGAAATGACGTCTTCTCGTTCCTCAGATAACTCTTCCCTTTATAGATCTCGTTACTACGTAGGTAATGTTTGCTCGAAGTTCGTGCGAGCGACATAACGAGCTAGTATATACGCGTCATTGATTACACTCTCGCTCCGTTCGATAGCGCACTCGCAACGGAGCGTTAATTTTTTGAACAAAAAGAGACTGAAGATACGCGATATTTTGCAATTCGTTTATACTTTGTTTTCTATATAGTCGAGAATACGCTCCTTTCTTTAATATTCACAACTATCAGCTTTAATCAGCTTGATATATCGTTATTTCAGTTACGAGAAAACATTCGATCTTTACTTAGGAAGTAGGTATTTCCAGCACTATTGCTGCACACTCTTAATCTTTACGACCGTCGCCATGTTGCGACAATTCAGATATGTCCGAGATCTTTCAATTATCTTTCATGTAGTAGTGTCTGGAGATCTCCCGTAGGCCATAAAAAACGTTCGGCTTACACAGAAAAATATAATCACGAGTCATTGACAAAACCTCGTAAATTTTATATTTGCTCAAAAGATTGTGAATATTCTCGATACGTATGCACTTTCCAAATTATTCAGGTCACTATCTTTCGACTTATGGCGCCGTGATAAGGTACAACAGAGATATGTACATTATTTCCGCAAAACAATATCGTAAATTCTATTTTCTCAAAAGATTGTTAATTTTGCCGATATGTATACATTTTTCCCAAATTTTTTTGGTCGCTATCTTTCGACTTATGGAGCCGTGATGAGGTACAGAGATATGAGTGTTTCCGCAAGACAATAGCGAACGCTAGCCTTTGTTGCTCGGAGACTAAAATTCTTTTTACCTCGTCGTTCCCGAGAAAACGAGAGCTCGCTGTGCATTCGCTTTAAAAAGAACGTTCTTCGCGTTCGGTCGCGGAGCAGGCAGACGTGACAATTAGACGTTCCAATTTTCGTCCGTACGCTAATCCCATCGCAGATTTCACTCACCGGTGAAGAAAAACAAAGAGCACGGGCAGAATTCAAGGGATGTACCGAGTCTACCGTTTGATATCCATTATCCATATAGCAGAAATATTCGAAATACATCACAGCGATATCCTTATAAAGATATCACTTATCCCAAATATTGCATATATCTCTATAGGGTATCCCTGCAATATATTTTGGACATTTCTGCTACGTGGGTAACCTCCGCTCATTCTTGAGTTATTCCCATTTTATGATTTCATGTGCGACAGATACAAATCAATTGAGTCGATTCGTGGAATTCCTACGGTAAGATGAACACGTCTGAAGAAATGAAGCATTTCCCGCGAATTTATCTTTCGATTCATCTCTCCGTGCGGCGGAACGTTTTAACGTTTGTCGCTAATTAACGCGCGTTACGTTAAATATTGCATCGCACGTCTTCAATTATGCAAATAATACGCTCTATCGTGATGCCGATAATGCGAAGCGATAGTCGTAAGATAGTATTTCAGCTCTTCAGACGTGCTGTTATTTTCATCGTTTTATCATGCGTGAATGCGAAGGATTATAGAAATTGTCGACGATCCCCCCGTCTTATGAAGTGACACATTCGAAAATGTTTTCCCCTTTCAATAATCCTCCGCATATCATTCGCATATCGGTCTGCCGCACTGCGCGCTATCTTGTTCATCTCCTAAAATTCCTCTCTACTTCGCGCGTCTCGCGCCGTCGTAACTCTCGGCTCTATTTGTTTGGCGGCTCGTTTGCGTATTCAACATTCAAAGTCAACAATTGCGTATGCATCGCTTTAAATACGTGATTCCAGCTCGCCCGGGTTATGCGCGCGTGTAGATTCGCGCGGTGGTAAGCGGCTTAAAGCTGCATCGCGAGAGGGGCGGGAAAAAAAAGAGAAAAAAGAAGAGACTAAATCTGCACGCCGCGAGAGTATTGCGATCTCTCGTGCATGCCGTGCCGCGCATACACGTTCCACCATCATCGCCTTTCCTTCACTCCGCTTTGTTTCACGCACGTGTGCGCATTTTGTCACGCGTCGGGAATTGAATATTGACGAAAGATGTTTCCCTATTGTCCTTTCCGTCCACACGTTTTTCACGCGCGGAAAGCTAGTAGGAACATTTATAAGGTGAGCCTGTCCGTACTTACTTGTGTAGCACTTGCTTCGTCTTAGGAACGTATCGTAAGTAAGAGATGCGCACAGGTAGCACTCCACCTGTGTATCTAGAAAAAGGGGTAAATTATAATTGCTATTAAAACTCGACCTCGATCTTTACATATAATCACTATATAACTAACAATGCGAACGAGTTATTTTAAAAAGGGGACAAAGGCGAGGGAGGTAAATCGATAATTGGTCTTCTGCGAAGGATAAAACTCCCACGCCTCTCGTCATTCCTTCCTCTTAAACGATAGGCAATTTTGTATAATTTATTTGTCGAGAAATTATGTAATACACTAATATATATGTATATATAAGATCTTGATTGTTGATTTTTGCTAATAAGATTCGTCAACAATTTTGGAGGAGGTAAAAAATATAATTGTACACGATATATTTTTATATCAAAGAGAGTGTGAATAAAAATATACGGAAAAAATGATTTTGCTGAAAGCAAAAAATTTTGATCTGAAAATAATTTTGTTAGACAATCAAAATATTTTTGTTGAAAACTCAAAAATGATAAGCATTACTGTAAAACTGTTTTGATATTCTAACAATCGTTTTGATATATAACAATCTAAATTGATATTCTAACAGTTTGATTTTCCAACAAAATTATTTTCAGATCTGTGTTCAGCAAAATTTTTAGATCTTCCAGTAAAATCGCGGTTTTTTCTATGTATGCAAATCGTAATTGAATAAAATAACAAACATCGGTAAATAAAATATTTACGTTTAACAATACAGTACTATTAATTTATAGACTATTATTTATTTATATATAAAGTTTTTTATGGATCTAAATTCTAAATTTATGTTTAATGATAATAAAGTCACATTAGGATTGGTACGAGTAACAACTGCCGCGACTCTCACGTCGGATACACAGGTGATGCTTAGCCTAAACATTGTTGGCATTTGTAAACGACTATTTTTTCTTTTTTTTATAAGTACAAACAAGACAACCTTTCAGGTATATCATAAATTTTTTCGTATAGCTTATCATGCGAGGCATTGTAGGAAGAACGATAATAATAATTTTTTAACCACGGTCATTCACGCTGCCCAATAGTAACTAATGATCTAAATTATATTTCTATACATAGATCTAAATTATAGGTCTAAATACGTTTTGGTAATTCGCCGGCCATTTAAAACTCAACCCCTGAACGATGTATTTTGTTATACTATTTTTTGTGTACGAAATTTAAATATAATATTATTATATATTTGAATGCGCAATTAAAACAATATTGTAAAAAGAGTAAAAGTTGGAGGTTATGCCACGTGTAAAAATCATTTTATGTTTGCATTTCGTAAACAAGCTTTGGCGTCGTTTCGGCGGTTGTCAACCGCACACAAATTAATAAATTCAGGAAAGCCTCTTTGGATGTGGCCCCTTGTAGAAGACGATGACATATTGGTAGTCACGAGTTTCGCGATGATCGATAGTAGACACACGATAATCCCCCACAAGTTCTTTATCACTCGATATTTCACTCGCAGTAGATTTGCTGTCGACGCGTTTGAATTTTTCTTTCGTAAATTCGTTAATCTACGCGATGAAAATTAATGTAATCTTACTTGCGCACTATGCGGCAGATCCACCAGTTCGATCCAAATTATGCAACTCATTGTTGCGAAAATTTAATGACGTTAGGCGCCGCGTAATGGCGTGCAAGTGTGGCGTGACAAATAAATCTCGTGTCTTTGATAAACTTTATACATTTGATAATTAGATATTAGGTATATTTTTTTATGTACATGCAGGTAATTTGTTGATAATAAATTTGCGTGGCTTTCACTTTTAAGAAAAATATCCTAAACTGTAATGATACGCTATCATCGTACGTCTGTAATGCAGTAGTTCACGTTAACAGTTGATGATACCGGCGACGTGTGAATCCAACCGTTACCTAAGAATGATAAAACATTTACGAGATGCGGCGGCCGCTGTTCGTGACGGGCGCGATAAATGCGTAAATATAGAATACATATAGAAACTTGAAAAGAAGTTTAAGAAAAAGAGTTGCTGATTTTACTTATAAAAAAAACATACTGTTTATTTTAGCTACTATATCTACTTTCACCGTGTAAAATGCAACGAATCGTATGAAATCAACGGTTTAACATTGGTAAAAATAATATAGACCTTTTTATTAAAATACAGTATAAAATTGCCCAATGGAATACGGCCAATGTATTTGCACATGAAACATACAATACACTTTTACATTCTATTGCACTTATCTAAAGTCACATTAGGATTGGTAACATCTGTCGCGACTTTTACAAGTCGGATACACAGGTAATGCTTAGCCTATAAGCATTATTGGCACTTGTAAATGGCTGTTTTTTTCTTTTTTTTTTTATAAACATAAACAAGATGATCCTCGAATATATCACAAATTTTGTCAAATAACTTATCGCGCGAGGCATTGTAGAAAGAGCGATAATAATAATTTTTTAACTACGGTCTACGCTGCCCAATAGTAACTAATAAAAAAAAATCGCTAACATAACATATTCGGTGGATCCTATTAATTCTACAGACGAGATAATCTTACATCTTTTGATTCCAACACATCTATGCTTCGAATGAGGAAACCGTAATATTATCTCGAAACTATATTGCACCACAACGTCTGAATATCTATCTGGAATCTAGATAGAAACCGCGTAACAATTAATATCAAGGCACATATCACCGATAGTCTGCGGCACAAGAATAGCGTATTATACACATTATACATACCTCCGATAATATACGTTATCGGAGATACATATTATACATTACATATATATTTTGTACATACCTAAATGTTTATATACCTAAATATTGACGTAATTCGTTGTGTAAATCGTGCGCCTATTAATATCTAAAAATCTAAATTTAATAGAGACACATCTCACATTTTATCTGTACTCAAACAAAAGATAAATTCGGATTCGGATCGCAGTGTCATACGTTGTCATTATAAAGCTTTTGTACCTTTTCTTTTATCTTTCCATTCATTTCCGTTCAATCATTAATTGTATATTTTGGCGCTTATAGTGTGAAATATGTAGCTTATAATTGTCTATAGACTAATTTGTCATTGTCTACAGTTTATTGTGATCGAGGCAATTTCAGTTTTAACATTTCAGTAAATTAATAGACTAGCTGAATCGATATCTACAATTTGATTTGTAATTTTTTTGATTGTTTTAATTATATGTATATGTGTAGTTCATTCACTGAGTCGAGAAAAGAAATTAACTAAGAGTAACTTTACTACACCGCGCGAATTTGTCAGTCTTAACAAACCAAACTGATATTTTATAAAAACATTAATATCATTCAATCCAGTAGCATTAGGAATGTAATGATGATCACGATTTATTATTCGCAGAACGAATAAGATCTTATCTTAAAAAAAAGTTAGTATTTCCGTCTTGCGAGGAAACATATGATTTATACGACACGTGATCTCTCTTATCGTTCCAAGAATTCTATGCAATTTTTATTCGCTTTGACATATCATGACAGAGACATATGTCTCAACAAAATTATATTTTAATTAAACAAAAACGTGATAATAAAAATTATATATCATTTGTACGTTCATTAGGAATTTATTATCATTGAGTTAGAAATATTTTGATTAAAGTTATATAATTTTTTATGTAACTTTTTGCCAAAACATAAAAAAATTGTTTGCAATAATCTGCAATAATTATTATTGTATTTATCTTGGTTTTTATTATTGATTTTTTATTTCTATTTTTGCGTCTTTAATAGCTTGTCATGTAAATTATATATGTACATATTAATATGCGTGTGCAGAAAAAATTTACGTGAATTTGCCTACGACCATGCATACATTTATGCACACATAAAACATTTTGTCGGTGTGCACGTTTCTTACGTTCTGCTAAGGTATATATTTTAGGACGGTGAGCCCAACCGCTGTAGTGGAGCCCGAGACACGATAATAAAAATTTACTTTGCAAACGTCCTAGCGATCGTTTTGTGTGTCAAAATTGCTCCACGGTTGCACATTTTCCTATACCGTTTATTTCAGAGACTCCCAAGTTCTCCCTGCAGAGACATTCAGTAGAGCTTCGCGTACAAACGGCGATCGCCTCTAACGTTGGCGTCTTCATTGCTATTCGTTTTATCCATGTACACCATTTCCGTTTTCTTGTCAGACGATTCGTCCACTGCCTTTTCCGACGTGGCATCCTGCAAAACATCGCGTGTGTGAGTCGCGATATAAAAATGCACTCCAAAATATTCTTCTCTCAGCCGCGGAAAGAAGGGGCTTTTACGAATCTTATACGTACCGTTGCGGGTGTATGTCGTTTCTTTCGGAAATACAGGAACGCTACGGTACCAATTAAACCTAACCCGATGATTATTATAGTTATGCCGACACTTAGCATCACGATTGGAAGTGCTAGTAACTTTCTTAAATTAGAAGCCATTTCCTCGGTAACTTGCACTTTCAGCTCGAACCAAAACATCGGCACATAAACCTTGGGCACGTTATTCAAGAGCCTGAACAGACACATCAATTTTCGAACTTTAATAAGAAAATGGCCAATGCGATTTGAAGCGAGTCTTAGTGCTTAATAATAATAATATTTTTGCGTGGGTCTCACAATCTCTAATCACAGCTAATTGCGCATCGCAAATTTATCGGTTTTGAAAAACAACTGTACACTGAATCCGGAGTACGTAACATCACAAACTAAATTGATAAAAGCAATTTGATAATAATATTGATACTAACAAACATCCGTTTAAATTCTGTAAAATAACATCAATTTTCTTTTTCATCTAATTATGTTATTGTGGAGACAAGATCAGAGATATATAGGAGATATGTGTTGTTTTATAATTTAATGAGTTTCTTTAATTGCTTATGTACTTACGTCACAATTTCTGATGGTTGCATAAGAACGTTAATTTGAAATCTAGCTGATACTTCTAGAGGAATTCCCGTCATCTGAAATGTCAAGTATACTTCATAGAAAACAATTATATTTGTGTTAAATGCCTAAGTGTTATATCATGTGGCACGTAGCTATGCGAATAATTCAACACGATTGCTTTCTCAATAGCGCGTATTATCGCGGCAGCGCTACATCCTCCGTGCTCGATAGGCCGGATGAAAGGCGATAGTAAAATTAGTATCTTTGCAGCGGCGCATGATGGGGTTGACTGACCGCCGTTATTTCTAATCGCGGCGGATTTATCGTACGCGGCTTAAATACGATTCGCCAGATCACCACTCACGGGTTCGAGAGTGATGGTGAAGCCGTGATCCTTGTCGCTGGGCGTTAGTCCTTCGATTGGGTCGAGTAATATGGGATCGGCCTTGTAAAAATGAGGTAGACTGATGAAGACCGGCGCGCCGAAACGGCACGCGGTCACGTTTATTAAACCCGACGGCGTGCACTCGCCACCGCAGTAGCAATGGCCTGTGTTAACGACATCCGGATCGTCGTCCGAGTACTCGCTCGAACTCTTCTCGGACGAGCGATCGTTGTCGGGAACGCTTTCGGTGGTCGTGGTGAATCCCATCTCGGACAAATGCTCGGATACGAAAAAGTCCTCGGTCGTCGTGGTCGGCTCAAAGAATTTCGCCTGCTCGTGAGGATAACGTCGTCTCGTGTCATTTCCGAGAGTCTTCTTGTCGATGGTGTAACGATAACCCTCGACGCCCAAGTGAGAAACCGTTCCCTCGTATTCGTAGGTTATCGGACTAAGATAAGTATAAAAAAAAAGAACGGAAAATAAAATCAAGAGTTCAATACGCAATAGCAAGTTCAATACGTCAATTCATGCATTTTGCCACCGCTCTTAAAATGATTGGAATAATTATACGGGAAGTTGATAAAATGCAAGTAGCGCCAGATAGATTATTTTACACTCCGTTTACGTAATGATTAAATTAAATACAATTGCGTCAAAATTGTGTTAACTGGGGCAAGATGTTATTTGTAATTTGATTATGGTATCATTTTATGAGACGACGAAACTAGGATTAAATGTAAACTTGATAATATTTTTGGACTAACCGGCATATGTCTACGCTGAACAAAGTAATGTCTGTCTTTTCTCTGTTGGGTGGCCAAAATTCACCCGCGCTGCCTTCGATAGTGTTACAAGGGATCTTGAAGAATCGCGTCGTGTCTCTATAATTCCACTTTCTTATGATACCCAACTGGCTGATGTCATCCTCGCCTGTTTCCATATTTAATCGTCCGTCCATATCACTGCCATTTCTCTGCATAATTAAAGCAATAAATTGTGATATAATTGTTACGTTCCTCTTTTAGCATTTAATCTTAACACTGTAACCGGGACTTGAAAACGCTCTCATATATTATTCTGAATTGATAAATTTTTTGTTAACAAAAAGTTATGTGTTTGTTTTTCTCTAATACTTTTATCAGCGCCGATAAAGCTGCGATATTTTAAAATTTATTTCCCATGCGAGCGATGCGTGTTATCATTATCTCTACGAGAAACACTTGTTTCAATAGTGTATAATCGTAGCTACTCGACTTCTCAAGTATTTAGAGATACGCCCTTTTGTATTAATCAACTATAATTTTTGTAGAGCAGGAACATCGGTATAATTCATAATGTATCTTCGGACGTTACATTCGCTACGCGACGTGTGACCTATATATGATCTATCTCTTCCATTCATTGCCAATTTAAGCCTGGTCACAAGTACTCTACCATCGACTGTAACGCCATTGCCTAGTACCATGCAACTCAAATGCTCCGCACACTATTTGCTCGATATTAATAGCTTTTGCATCGCTCGTAGCAAATCCCCAATGCCAAATATTATTTTAAATTTTAGCACTTCAAACCTTTTATGAAAGAGATGTATTGTAAAGTGATAAAAGAGCGTGAGGTCTCTGGTTTTAATAATGATCCAATATTTGGAGAGGCAGAGTGAACGCAATAATGCTTAAGGCAAATAAAAAATTAACAGGAATGCCGCGCAGAAAATTAAATGATATAAGGAATAAACAAGTTCGAAGCGTATATGGTATATCGCATGCATTAATTGTAAGATGGTTTTTGTCCTCGCTGGCGGCGTACGAATGAATCGTACTAAGAGAAAAGAACAGAGATAGCCTGTCTTATTGGCAGACGTACCATATAGAACCAGCCGACACGATCGTAAGTCGGAACGTCTTCCACAGGCATTATTTTGCTCATGGTGACCAGACTGTCGGTGTAGCCGCTAAACAGCAATTCGTCGACTGTTTTACTAATATAGTATCGTCGACTGGTGCTGCTTAAGAGAAAAGACAGCGACTTCTGCCAATCGTGGTCCCAGTATCGAATTTTGTGCACTGCTGTCTGCAAAAAGAAATAATATATTTATTGCGTTGAACGTCGCTGTTTCTTTGAATGAATCGATTATTTTCTATTTTTCTAGCACTGCAGGCTGGAAGTTAAAGAAGCAAAAAATCCAGACTTCATTACTGTACTGTCTGTTACATAATTATTTCACCTTGAATATGTGATTGTTTTTTTTCTCTCGACGTTACACTAGACATTGAGAATTAAATTTATTGTACTAAGCACGCGACGAAAGATGTAATAAGACAGCTCACCACAACGACGATGTCCAAATTGGTAACGACGTCGGTGAGACTTCCATTGCTCAGCTTCTCATCGAAGTACCATGTTCGTCGTTGCACATAGCTGACAGTTTTATTTTCGTGATTAAATGTGATGTTATCCTTTTGCCTTATTTCTCTGCAATACGTAATTCCATTAACGTTTTCTTCTGTTCTTATTATACTTGCGATCAAAAGTCTCTTCTAATTGTCGAATATTATTCGTAAAATGAAATTAGAAGGGAGTATTAATAAGAATTAGAAGAAATTAGAAGGGAATATTAATAAGACAAATTAATTAATGAAATACGCGTTGGGTATAATCGCTCAGTGATTCTATTGATGTGCACTTTGAAGTTAAAAAATATATATATGCATTTTCTACATCATTTTAATTGATACACATTTTATTGTCCGATGCTAATCCTGCCGCTAATTTCTGAGGTCGGTTATTCGATCGCAATTTAGACATATGACCTATATATTTTGCTTAGTAATATTAACAGGACAATTGCCATGCAGCTACACAGGACGTGTGTAATGATGACGACCATACCTAATGCTCTCTTATTGTCAAAGGCGCAATCTTTATATTACCGACACAAAATTAGGAACGGAAGCAGAATTGCAGGAGAAGAGTTTTGAAGGGGAGAATTTTCTAATTTAGGCGGTTATACGTTCCTAAAAAAAACAAACAATTAGTTTAATTGTATTTTATATAAATTGCTTCAAAGCAATATACATCAATTATATACATCGATTTATATCATGATTTTATATCGCTAATCACACATAATCCTATTTACTGATCGACGAAAATGATATCTGATATTTCAATTAACCGGTTGAAATTTGATCCAATTTGTGATTGCAATTTTTTTTTAAATGACGGAAACCATTTTAATTTACGGTTTTTACCAAAGAAACAATTCGCAGGAATTATCACGATATTATCATTTATTAATGATTATTGTTAAGTGTTTTTCTTTTTTCACGACAGCGCCTGAAGAGTGTTTTTGCAAAATGTAAATTGTGAAACGTGACGATGGTTTCGATACTTCGGTTTATTTTTGTAAGCCGGTGAATTCCGCACGCTTACCGGTTTTAGTGCAAAAATATATTGAGGTAAACCAGTTCGAATGAAGGACACGATGTGAACATATAGGAGCGTATGGCACTTGTCGAATAGTCGCAGTTATTACGGTCAAGAAGAAAGTAAGTAATTAATTAGTCAATTACTTCAGACAGGCTCGCCCACGCATCGCGCGCGATTGGTATTTTTTCTGTTCATTAAGATGTCAATACAATGGTTAACTATTTCTCCTTCATTGTCGTCATTGGGTTCATTATCGCGTTGTAATTTCGTAGACTGATTAGGATAATATTACTTTTATTACATGTGCAAAAGTATGTTAGATTTACATAAGTTTTTCTTTTTATTTAGATATTCTTTTTACTCAGATATTTTTTCACGGTACTGCTATAACGTATCAATTATGATAATTAAAGCGTTTTTTTTATTAATTGCAACTTTATTGATTGTGTTTCATGTGCATATCATTTCGATTTTAATGAAAACGGTAATTATTTGTAATTTGTACTATTAATAAAATTGTAAGGAAGATATGTAATTCATAAAGTATTAATTTTGTGACGTCGTGTTTATAAACAAAATTAATCTGATTAAGACGTGTCGATAGAACGATACTACTACGCGATTGTAATTTCATTTTATCTAGAATGACATGCACGTGAAACGCACAACCTTGAAACTTTTTCTGCGGTCATCGACTCGTTATAGTATTTATATATAATATCTGAATATGTGCAAATCTCTTGATTTATTTGTTCATGTTTTTTTTTTACGTGATTAAGAATCATGCAAACGGAGTCTGCATTAAAAAAAAATACGTAAGAGAACAGCTCGCGAATATTGTAAAAATATTTATTTTACATATTTGCACAAAGACAATAGTGATGAAAGTTCAAGGAAACAAATTTAAATTTCATTCATTGTCGCTATCAGTACTGTACTCCAAAGCAGTCAGAATAATACAATAAATATAATCAAATAAAAACTTTCGGCTCATTGGTATATAAATAATTTTAATAAATACAATAGAAATATTTAATTTAATTTAATTTAATTTATTGCATACAACCAAGAGATTACAATATTAAGAGACTGCAATAGAATGTAAATTAAACATACGCCAATGGCAAGGCGTCAACTTAGCTGATGTGGAACCTCCCAGATAACTTATCACAAATACGTAAAGTATCAAATAACTGAATACAAATAACATTAACATAAATAACACAGATAATAAGATATATTTTTTCTGACCGCGTAAAATAAAATCGCGAAAATCGAAGATATTGGTGTTATTCTAAATACACAAATTATCACACACAAGTGAAAGTTAATAGTAAGTCTCGCTCAAGAAATTGATCTCGTCGATTATTTCGTTCTTTTTCTTTTTATGCCGCGATTTCGTGAATCTTATGCAATAATCGTTTATTCGAGTGAAAGTTATTTACCTGAAGTAATAAGGTCCAATCTGAGTGAAATGCATTTTTTTTACGTTCAATTCCTCCGGGTTGGTCCAGTTGTAGAGATAAATTTTCATATACATCGGCGGGAGGCTGCTGGTGTCCTTCCATAGCTCAAAGCTTCTGGAAGTCGGCGAGAGGGCCAATTCCTAGAGATAAAAAAAATTATTTAGCGGAAAAAAAACAACCGATGTCAGCAATTGTCGCTTTGTAGTCTGATGATGTCTCGCTGATTGTACACAAGTACAATGGTGGCAATGCAAATAATTTCCTTGTAAAGTGCCACTTAAATAACTATTCAGATCGCGTTTTACGGTTGATGAACGCATGCAACGACTGTCCGTTTATACAGTTGCTATCTACGCGATCACAACAACGCAAAAAGAACAACAATTAGCACGAGATGTATTGTATGAACAGTCGCAAAAAATCGCAAAAATATATAACCACTGAATTATTCATGTATTATAACATGTGAATGCAATTGTAAATTTACAATCATTATTCTCACAATTTATCACTTATGATGCGATGTAATTGTGACATTGATTTATTTAACACAATCAGAATAAGATCAAAAGGCATTGAAACTTAATATTGAGAAATTAGCTAGTTAGTAGTTAGTCACTTATAAATTGTAATAAGGAACGCGCTAAGAATCGGATTTACTAGCGACGGATCTTGAATGAAGAATCTATTCGCGCAGCTATTAAACTCGCGTCGCATTAATAATCTAGTTGCGCGAATGGTTTCGTAGGAAAAAACAAGGAACACGGACGCAACGTGACAGACGTCTGTGTCTCTACCTTTTATTAACACCGAGATTATTTGCGCGCGATGATGTTGCCGGTGGCGTGAAATGGGACCGTTTGCGACATGCCGCGACACAGAGAAACACCAATTAATGGGACAATCGGCCACTTTTCCAATCGGGCCGGGACTAGCGCCGAGACGAGCGTCCAGTCTCTAAACGCATAGTATGTGGACCAGTTCAACGAGTGATCTTATTTATCGCAAACTACGCTCTTTGGCGCATTTAATACGTAGATGTGGCTCAGTTTCCGCGAGCGTGAATAAACACGCAATGTGCGTGTTTATTCCTTTTTTAACAATGAGAAAAACTCGATAAGTATGATTGATTATCATATCGAAAGGCAACAAGTTCCAGAGTCAGCTAAGAATAAATCTTCAACTTAAAAATTTAATACATTGTGTAGAACGATTATAAAAAGAGCAAAGGTGGCAAAAAAATATTTATGCGATATATGCGGTATATGAATTGAAAACGAATAAACTGACTTATGGAATGACGATATCCTACTTCTGGTTAAGAATTTTTTTGTATATTTTTGTAGTCAGTCGAATCAAAGTATTTAAACGCTTAATTTCTTTTTGGAATAATAAATTTGAAATAACATTCTGTTCAGAGTCAAAAGTAGTAGGCAATAGAAAATTGAAAAAAAATAAAATAAAATAAAAACACTGTTATTCATAAATTTATGCCGTAATTTATATTAATCATTATAATATGAAACTTTTTATGTCTAACTTAAGTCTTTTTTAAATTTTGTCTGAATAGTTGACTTTGAACCGACTGTATTTTCGAAACTGTATCTCTTCTTAAATTTATGACTGAGCGATGATATGGACAGGCAAACCACTGTATCGTATTACTGAGATAAGCGCGATTAGATTGTTAGTGTCAATATTTCGTACACAAATCCGCAGAAATCCGTTTCAAGTCTGACTTATCAAAGGAAAGGAGTTAAGGTAGAACTCGAAGGTGAACGTACCGATCTAATGCGATGCGAACGAGAAAAAGTGAGAGTGCGTTATAAATATATTGTTTGGTGTTGCAAGTCTTATCACTTTGTAAAACGAGAAAACGTACGAGAACACGTGTTACAGATGAACGTAATTAATCGTCGTCCGCACTCACTTTTTGAAGTATCTGATGGAAAACCGTCGGCCATAAGAAGCAGAGGGCATTGCCAAGGGCCACCAGAAAGAGCCCTAGGATCCCAAAGCTAAGCGATTTGTTCATCCACGGCTTCATAGTGACGCGTGTATCTCCGCATGCACCGATCCCCGTCTATTCAGCATGTGCACCCTGAACTCGAGCGTTCGGCCTTTTCGTTAATCACTTCTCTCACTCCGCCGCGTCGCTCCAGTCAGCCTTTTTCGCACTTCAACGTCTGCAAGATAAAACGTATCTAATCTACCAGTCAGCGACGAATTTACGTCCGTATAGCCGCGCTATAATACGCTATGCGTATATGTAAGCATGTTATACGTGTGCACTCTCATGGTGCGTGGTGCGTTTCTTTAAGCCAATGGAGTTTCCGCGTCGACTAGGAATGCGTAGGCGTCGACACCAATAGATATATTCGAGTTCACGTGTGTCGACCACAGCGTGGTAGATACATATGAGTATTCGAAGGACATTCCGAGAGAAAAATTTGGACGAGGCAACGCCGAATAAAAATTATCAATAGCTTCGGATGAACTAAGTACTAGGCTTGCGATTTATTTGGCCATTTTGCAGTAAAAATATTGCTTATTTTTATAATAAACCTTTCCTTTCATATTAAAATAAAATTGATATAGAAAGAAAGAAGAAAAAGATTTATATTTACATATTTGTAGAAATATTTGACTAGAAATTCTCAGCGTAAGAATATCAAAGGAATATGTTAAATGCTTATTTACATAGGACTTTGATTTCATATTGTATTCAATATGTATGTATACATAACGCATTCGTCATTAGTCCATAGAATATTGAAAATGGTTTAGTCTTCACACATACACACATATTTACATTGATTACTTTATATAACAGTAAAGCTTTTACATAATCATTGAGCTCTTGTAATTAACAATAATTACAGAAAATCAAAATTTGTTTTGGATAACAGATATAAGGCGATTATAATTGATGACGATACAGAAAATTAAATTGCGATATGGAAAATATATAATATCTATTTTATCATTTTCAATGTAAATTAAACATGAGTCGTTAGCGAATAAAAAGAATATTTAATTAATATATATAATTAATATAAATATCATATAACTAATATAAATATTTATTTTCATTATGAATTTTAAAAATATGTCAAAATATGTTGCATGCTAAAAATTTATATTATTTATTACGTAAATTGAACGTGAATTTACACAAAGTTAACAATAAAATATACAGTTAACAATAAATTTACTGAAAAATATTAAAAAATATTTGGAAAAATATTCAATAGAAAATTACTGTCTGTTTTTTTATCTCAAATTAGGTTTAATTAAATCATGTAACGATCCATGATTCATGTCACAACTCTACAAGATGTGTCCTCACCTAAAGTTCAGGAAATAATTAATAATTACGTATTATTAAGTAAATTATTAAATTGTAAAAATATTTTACGATGACATTAAGTTTCTTTGCATAGGAAATTTATAAATCAAAATTGTTTTCATTTGAATTTTATTTCGCAATAATTTATCTTATGTAATAATCTGAACAACAAGTAATAAATATTGATAAAATTGCAAAATAGTTTTTAATAGATCTGTGCTACTATTTACGCAGTAATTATAAAAAAATGTATTATACTTGTGATATGCTTAACACAAGCTGTGTTATTATCTTAATATTACAGATGCCGATCACGCAAGGTTATCTAATAATCTTTACGTCAATACGTTCATTGCTTTATTATGATGTTAATTTGCATTTTTAATATGAATTAGAAATCATCTTGTATATCATTTTAAATTATCTCTATTTGCGCTTTTCTCAATGTAAATTATAATTTTCCAAGAACATCTAATTCTACAGAGAAATAATATAGATAATATTATATATATATATATACATATATATATATATATATATATATATATATATATATAAATTATATATATTAATGTAAATTAACATTACTTTAATTCACCAAGATTTTTACTTAATTTTGATATTATAATTACATATAATTTCTTAATTAGAAGAAAATTACCGATTGATTATTCGGAATACGTTAAAAATTAAATATTGGATTGGATTTTATAATGTGCTATAAGTACCTACTATTTAGATCTAATTGTAAGCAAAATTCAAACACTTCAGTGCTTTTTTAGTAGCTATCTGTAATCTCAATAAATAAATTTTGTATGAAAATTAGTGTTTTTAAAATGTGAATCGCGAATTATGTGCATATAGTTTCGAACTATTTCTTCGACATATTTACTTCTCGATGTAAATTAGCTTTCTCATACCGTTTGTACGTTCCGTTAATGAACATGTACAATTAAATTATATTACTTGCTACTTACGTGCAATTTATATCGAATCATAGTTCTTATTGAAACATCTTTTATAATTATCACATTATCTACTACATTACTGTACGCCGATTTTAAAATCGAAACGTTTCTATTAACACTTACTTCTGCAGAAACTTGTTGTTCAGTAAGCTGCCGAAGCTACTTCTTCCTCCAACATTAGTATTAAAGTACACCAGAAACTAATATTCTAAATATAAAAGAAAAAGACAAAGAGATCTGATATCCGTCGACTAAGTGACTGACACTTCGCGCGCGTCTCTACCGCCGCGCCGATCCGGTTCTCCATACGACGCGTTTATTACTGACGAACACTGTGAATCAACAGGCAGTATCTAACGTCTGTTATCCCCTCCACTTAGGGAGGATTTTCCTCCGACCATCTCTATCCCTTGCGCCCTGGCGACCGCGCCTTGTTCCCTTTCTGATAGTCCCCCTCGTTGCTACCAGCCCAACAAATTGGCCGCTGCGTGCTCAAACGCGACCACGTGGGAAGACTTTGGCCTTCTGTCGACTTGACGCGTGCCTTGTCGCGCCAATTACATGCAACTTGGCATTCGGGCCACGTGAGTTACCGATGTAATCCACGTTGTATTTACATATTTATTTGTGACATATTTTAATAAGGCATATGTCTTATATAGGTATATACGTATTAATAAGATTACTTATTAATAGTTGTCAGACATTGTTAACGTTAAGGCTTAACAAAGTGCCTTGTAGAGCAAGAAATTAAAATTTTTATTTTTAAACTTTTTGTTTAAGCTATTTGCAATTAAAGAGATATAACGTAGTATTTCTCTTTGTAGTCAAAATTAAACATGAACGTGAAGCGCGGGCCATCGGTGACACACACATGCACACACACAATGGATTAAATTCTTTTGTCGCGACTTCGCGTCTGAGGTTGTCCGCTCTGCAAACTCTTCATAACCTATCGTGAAGTAGTTGCTGTTCGCAGAAGTAATATTTGCAATAAGAACAAATATTTAAACTGTTTCTAAATATTATATAAAATTAATAACGGCACATGCTTTTTCAAAATTTAATTTATTGATGATATTAAATGAGCATGTATATACATATATTCGCGAAATAATAATTATTAAATTATTATTAATATTTAATATATTTATTTAATTATACAATTATGCAGTTATGCAGTACAAAATTTGTGAATAAATGATTATATAATTATTTATTTAATATAATTATGGTTTTATTTTCGAGAGAATAATTTTTGAAATTATTGCAATATTGAAAAATCATTATTTTTATAAATATATAATTTTGCATATTTTATAATATTTTTGCCTTCACATACTAAAAAATTTGTGAATTATACAAATATTATCACGTAGAGATTATTTTTAGAAATATGTGAAAAAATTAAATATTGTTTTTACTTTTTTTTATCTTTCTCTCTTTCTATTGTATTTGTTTTCTTTCTATTTGTATTTGTTACAATTATTTAATATATTTCCAAATTATGACTCAAAAGAAAGCATTTTTAATAGTGTTCTAATAATTTTTGTACATTGAAAGAACGATTTTGTTGAAAGATCTAAAAATTTTTCTTAAACAAATCTGAAAATAATTTTTTGTTGAATCATCAAAGTAATTTGTTGTAACGTTAAAACTGATAAGCATTGCTATAAAACATTTTGATATTCTAGCAATCACTTTGACTTTCGCACAAAATTATTTTGAATATTGAACAAAAATTATTTTCAAATTTGGATTAAGTAAAATTGTTCTTTCCGTGTAGTGTCGTACACGTATTACATTTGATAAAAATTTATCTTTCTACATTAAAATGCAGAAAATGGTCATGTTGTATATCGTTAGAGTATATACACTACAACATACATATGCAAGGAATAAGCAAAATTATGAAGTTTTTATAATATCTAATATCGCGACTCTCAAATGTAACTGCCAGAAGTGTATGTTTAATTTCTCTGTATGTACACTTTTGTTGGCACACTTCAATTTTATTCCTACCAATTAAGCCAATGGCGTTAAATTGAACTTTTCGTTTGTCTGCCAAGTGTGTGTTATTAGTCACATATTTCATGTTGGTTGCTGTTCATGTCTCAAGGAGAATGCACATGCATAAAAATGGAGGACATCTCTCATCGGGAATAAAATTTCGCGGAACAAAGCGCACGATTTGCATGTGCAACTAGACTAATGTTTTTACGTTACGAACCCGAAGTACTTGACCTGATAAAGTTGCATGTCTAATAAATTTGAAAAGATGGTGAAGAGTCCAATAAGAAAGAAGGCCCTATTGGTGAGGTAAACTGTTGCCGGCCTTGTTACGTCGCGACCTTACATAAACGTGAATAAATTATTGTCGCATGGTGGAGCCGCGTCAGTGTATCGAATGGAAGTAATCCGATTTTACAGTTTGTACGCATCGTTTATTGACACTTCCTTGTCTACGATTAGAATTCATGGGATGAAGATAGTCATCTAATAATAAGTAAATTAACGCAAGGGGGCATGTTCAATGTGGGAAGATATGCAGATTAGGTTGATATCCTTATATTATCGCAAATAATCATAAAACACATACTTGAAGAGCATATCAATTCTTATGTACAAGAATAACTGTTAATTTTTACGATATTTTTTGCGCTAAGTTTGAATCGAGTACGAGCGAAAAAAATTGTCCTTGTACCTTCGCCAGGCAATTAAAACGAAGTAGTACAGGTTGTACGTCTGGAGGACGTCTTCTAATAGAACTGAAAGGCCCGCTGCCGTAATATAAGAGATTTTTTTTATTCTCGAAATTTATTTATTGTCTGCCGACACGCCCACGACTGTTCACGGACATGCTCCTCAATATCTCTAAGTAATCACTCTCAGACTCACTTGCAGCCGAGACACGATCCCCGCCCGATCTTCGATCCTTACTCTCGACCTCCTCTTCTCCAGATATCGTACGGCGAGATAAAGTTGAAGTCTAATGTGTTAATGCGCGATGGTTAAGCGGCGTATCGGACGACGCATAATCTCTTTCTCACTTATTTTTCTCTCGCCATCGATTGTTGTATCACTGCCTCGTTATCTTTTCACTCTCCCTATTTAAGAAACTCTCTGATTTTTTTCACACCTATCGTGATATCATCAGACACTGATTTAGGGGACAAGTTTTTACCGATTATCTTGAATCCCGATCGTTCGCGGAGAGGGGGACAGTAGATGCAGCGGCGTCTGCAGTTAACGACGAGTCGTCGACATGGCGGATCCAAGACTGCCGATGCACAACCTGGGAGAGCGATCATATTCTCGGCAGGTAGTAAGCCTCTGAAGTGCCACCACCTCTCTCCTTCAACCCTTGTTACATGCCAGTCATCGCGCTATTTATCGGCGCGCTCGAGGAGCCCCCCCACGTTATCTCGCTCTGTTGATTGACCTCTGAATTTTCACTGGCAGCCTATAGAAAAATGTTTTACAGTACCTCTGTAAAAACAGATCGGATCAATACGGTCGCAATTGGTTCGTTGAAGAACAATTCGATTAATTTTCGTAACGCTGACACGAAATTGATGTGATACCATGTAATACCATGAACTTTAATAGTTCCGGCACGTTAAAAAAATTTGGTTGGGCAGTTAGTTGCACAAGTATTGAAATTGATAAGTAAAACCTATTCGAAAATCGGCCGAATGAAAAGAAACTTAATGTTGCGCCCGGCAAAAGACTTACGAGTGAGTTTAGTAAAAAATTTCGTAAGATTTCAAAAATATTTTGCATATCTTCTTGCGACATTGAAATGCTGCATGAAAATCAAGGTGATATATTTTTAAGAAATAAAATCATTAAAATCGACACATTTAAACAGAAATTTAATTTTTAATGATTCAAAGTAAGTTCATAGAACAAGTTTTCATAAACTCTGCTCTTTCATGATCTTGTTTATGTTTGCTTTTCCTTTACATTATTTTAATATACAGGTAAAATATATTTATAAAACAATTACTTTTTTGTACAAATTTTTCTAATTTTTTACATACTTGATTAATTTCTCTGTTACTATATATTATATAATTAATGTAATATAATTAATAATATCACTTAATTAATTTTATATTACTATACATATATATCATATATAATCCCATCGTTACACAACGTAATAGGATATTTTTAGAATTATTCAAGCAATCAATGTTTCTTTAATCTTCAAGCTTTTCAGATGATTAATAGTTAATGATAAACTAAGTGATAATCAGATATTATTAAGTACATGTGTATTTAATATCACAAAGTCCAAATTACTCACCCAAACAAAAAACTCAATATCTTTTGCAACAGTATAGTTTAGTAGATGCACATAGATACATTATGTCACGTTGCTGTCGATCGTTACGTTGACAACTTGAATTCAATGCCTATTAGCTGCATTTAGATTCAATAGGTTATTACCTTCGGGCGTCAGAATTTTCATCGGCTTTAATTTAATCAATTGCCCTCAGAAAATTTAGTTCTTAGAAGGTCAAGGAAGTCTAAAAGAAGTGATTGGATTTGTGACTATTGCCTTATACACTTAGAAGAGTTACAATTTAACTTGTGCAACTCACTATGCTAAAGTTGTTGCCTATAAAAAAAATAGGATGTCATAATTAACCTTAATTCGCAGCTCAATGAACATTGAAATTGTAACAACGTATATCTTATGCGATGTACTGTAATACTGACGCTGCAGTATTGATAAATTCAGACAATGGGAAAAAAACAACGGAAATCAAAACAGCTACTTGAGCACATATTATTGATCTTACTGCGTGTGTGTTATTAAAAATATTAATTGTTTGAAAATGAAAATGAAATAAGGAAAGATTATATGATCGTGCGAAACGCGGAAGTATCCCAAGACCACTCCTCGAATTCGCAACACAGAGCATGATTATTTGAGGATATTCAACTAAAAAAAAAAATGGCAGGGTGTCCAATCACGTCCAACAGTTCTGACGTGATAATTCTCGCATCTCCCGAGGACAAGTATCGACTTTGGCCTTGCGGTTCACCATTTAACGTCGTCGATAACTGCGCGCACGTCGCAAATGTAAATTTCGTAGAAATTCATGTTGGAGTCTGTATTTTTATCATGATGAACGATGCCTTTCCAGCGTTGGGCCGCTGGAAGAAGCCATTATCTTCCGGCAGGCGCGACTCCAAACGCTATCCACTTATGTAGAAACATCGTCTTCGTGGATCACCAGATATCAGTCAGCTGCTTATGAAGCCCGTCAACATTCGGTCGCTCGCTCGCTCGCTGGTAAGAGCACCCAGTATTTCATGCTTGCCTCGTATGACGATATAGACGTGCATCGACCGCAAGCCAATTTACCAGATGCGATTTTGTGTCTGAACAATTTGCGCGCCTTTGGTGTCAATACGATAGTGAGCCGTTTACACGTGGCGTAAAGAATGCCGGCTATGTCATCACGATCAGTAGACGGTGAAAAAAAGCGACAGTGAAAAAACCCGGGCGTGACCGCAAAAATATCTCCTACATTCCGAGATTAAGATGTTCATAAAAAAAAAAAAACACGAGTAGTAACACGAGTTTCTTTAAATATCTCAACAATTTCTTATATTTTTTAATATTTCAATGAATTTGTGAGGCATAAACGCAACAAAGGAAATGGCGTAAGCATTTAATCGAGTCTGATTGTGAGAACTTTGAGCGAATGATAATACATATTTTTCTAAGTTGTTTTTGATGAAAGTATTATCAGTAACCGCATATTCGTTTCAACATCGTATCTCCATGTAATACGAATATGAATTCTATCAACAGTCTGAAAATAATTCAAATATAAACAATATTTATCGATAATCGGAATAAATATATACAATGTAAAAATTAAATATTTTCTCAGATTATCCTTCCTAATAAAAGATATGACATCAATATTTGCATGTCTCGAAATGTATTGTTGTCGCTTTTCCGGGTTAGTTGTCTCGCTTCACTTACTTAATTTATGAATGGTCATTGCATATTTTAATAGTTGTGTATATTTGTGCGTGCATGCGCGCGCGTGCGCGCGCGCGTGTGTAAGGTTAACAGTATAATAGCAAAATAATTAAAAAGTAAAAAATATTAAAAAGCGCGCGTCTGTAATGCAAGATTTGTAAAATATGTCTGAGTAAATATATGAAAAATATTTAATATCCACGAAATAGACGTTGTTATTAGATGACTGACACAAGAATATACAACTTCCCACTTCTCTTTATTAATTACTTCAACTATTGCGATGTACAAGCACATACGACAATCACGCGTCGAATAAAACCAGTAAAAGTAGTAAGGAAGAATATATGTGTGTGTATGCACGCGGGCATAATTTATATACAATAGAAAAAGAATATATGTAATAAGCATATTCCTCTTAAATCACGATTTCGTATTCAACGGTCGACGACCTGTAGTTCGCGTATGAAATCTAGCCATTTATAACGTGCAATTATTTAATAAAGCTGTTAAACGACACACAAAGTACAATATAATTAATGATGCAAGAACACTCGGTAGTGACGCGATTTAGCTCGGCAAATAAGAGTCGCTTGGAACGGGGACTAAAGAGCCAACCTCTGGACTTCTTCATCCCGTCTCTCTCTCTCTCTCTCTCTCTCTCTCTCTCTCTCTCTCTCTCTCTCTCTCTCTCTCTCTCTCTCTCTCTCACTGCGTATACAACACTAGATATTATTCTGTGTTTTTTGTTTTACGTATTTTTGTCTGAGGACGCGAAAGACTTTGGAAGGTCTCGTCTTCGAAGTATAATTCTGCGTTTCGTAAAACTGTTTTTCCTTTACGTATAACATGTCGCTACGTTTTACTAATCCGACGTCATTCGCTGACGATCGTATATAGCGAGAGACATGAATATTTATAATTGATTATGAACTCACACAAATAACTATTTTTTTGTGTATGAGTACGCACACGTGCTGTCCATATGCTTGGCTACTTCTCGTTAGACGGCTGGCAGAATCGTTTCCTTGCCCACCACACGGCGGCCAGAGCGGCCGCTAGAAAACCTATACCGGCGACAATTCCCATGGAAATCGCCCTGTTACGACGATAAGCGGGAACTTCCAGACCGACTCTCTCGCTGCTTGCCTCATCGTCCGTAAGCGATATCGCTGCCACTTCAAAAGTATAGAAGCTCTCCTCCTCCAAAGTTTTTACTGAAATGTCAATCATTGATGTCAGTTATTATTGTCAGTTATTAATTTAAATATAATTGATAATTATTATGCAAGAATGAAGAGTCGCTTACCTAGATAATAAGTGTCTGTTGTTTCTGCCCTGCCGTACAACTGTTCGGATGGCCCCCTGTACCATCTCACAGTGTAAAGTCTAACGAGGTTCTTGCCTAGATTAGGTGATTCCCAAGTGACCAAGTAACCCTCCACCGTTGCTTGAACTCTCACGTTGCGCGGCGGCCCCATGATCTCAGTGTCTGAAACAGAATCGTGTCACATCCTTGAAACGTTCGATTGAATTATCATACACGAGATGTATGAGACCATTAAGAGGAATCGTGTACGCTTCGTTACACATATGTATGAATTCCGTCGTTAAATTTCTTTTACTTTACCTTGCGAACTGCGATATTCCGACGCCGAGTTCTCATCGGAAGCTGGAAATAGAAATTACTTATTAGTTCATTTCACGTTTAAACGTGATCGAGGCGATCAATTAATCTTACTCGGCTGAGTGAATATTCGAAGCGCCTTGCTAAACATCCCGTCGCCGTGTTTGTCCTGGCTCAGTATCATGAACTCGTATTCTCGTCCCGGGAAGAGATTGTTGACCGTCGCCTCCGTAATTTTCCTCGAAAGAATTTTCATGGTTCTCCATTCCGACGTGTCCGTGGGTCTGTACCTGTATATATATCAAAAAGATACGAGTTTCACATTAATTATGAAAAAATTTATTTTTATAGCAAAAGCGGTGATTTTGAATGCTTCGCCGGTAACAAATAAGCGACATAAATATTTAATTATGTATGCATTACCATACTGAATATTCCATTTTGGGTCTGACGTATCCAGGTACCCAAGTCAAGGTGACGGCGTTGTTGCTACTATTGGCGCTTAAGTTATACGGGGCTCTGGGTGGTACATTCAGCACCATTAATTCAGTATCCGCGACGACCGTTGCTGCCTCATTGCTAGCTGCGCATTGATACAATCCTCGATCATGTTCCTGGATTCTTTCTATTGTCAGGTTACCGCCTATTAAGATGGTTCTTTCGGGTGGCAAAGGCGATCCGTCCTTTCGAAAAAAAATTTTATTACTATTTTATTATCAATTAAATTTATTATATAATTAATTGATTGAAAATCAATAAATAGAGAGGACGTACCTTGTACCATACGATTGTTGGTCGATGCGCGTTGTCGCCGTTTCTGGCATCGCAAGGAATTTCCAAGCTCTCGCCCAGCTTTCGCATGTACAGATGTTGCGGCGTTACCGTGAACATTGGCGGCCTTTGAACTATCTGTAATAATTAACAATATTGAGTTTTTCGAGCAATCTGTGTTTGGTGATTTTGAAAAACCGATCTGCGACAATTGTACTGCTAATCGCTTTTTTATTCATCAATTATTATTATATCATTTTTTTCTTTAATTGTAAATCACGCAGACAAATTAGCGTGTTCAGTGTCAGTTAGTGTTTCCATTAAAGTGGATCTTTCTTTTCCTCTTTCTTTATTCAATTTTTCGCTTCCTACGTCAAGTATTGTTGCATATTTACCACGGAAATCGAAGGGCTGGGCCCTGCGGTGCCTAGTTCATTGTAGGGAGTGCAACTGTAACTTCCCGAGTGCGTCTCATCCACTTTACTAAAATAGAGAGATCCGTTCCTCCTGTAGAAGACCCCTTGCACGTTGTAAGGATCAAAGAGAAATCCATCTTTCTCCCAACGGAGATTCGTGAGGGGCGGATTCGCCCTGAAGTGGCAGTCCAAGAGGGCTGGTTTTCCGTAGGGAAGATAGACTTCCCGTGGTGCGTAGATCACTTTCGCCTTATCTAAAATAAATGATAAAATCGATCATTGATATAAATTTAACGATGTCGTAGGGCATACGCGTCGCTATGCTCACATTGTACATTGAGAAAGGCCGATGCGCTTTGCTGATCTCCGGTATCTCCGGTCACCACGCATGTGTACTCCCCAAGGTCGCCCATGGCGGCTGGGTTTATGGTTAGCATTCCATTAGTATCAACAACGGCCCTTCTTTTGAGATCCTGTCGCAGTATAATGAATTCATGAATGTTTCCCAAGACGTCGAGCACAAATATATTATGAAATCAGTGACTGAACAATTCTCACCTGTATTTCTGGGATTGGTACTCCATCACGAAACCAAGTTACGATAGTACCTTCTCCCTTCGCGACACAGTCGAACTCGACCGTTTCGCCTTCCATGGCAGTTTTATTGACAGGTGGTATCGCAAGCAGAGTTTCGCCTGCAACAGTCGTCGGAAACGGCGACATACCTAGGTTGAACGATTTAACGAGTCTGCCCGGTTTCAGGTTAGTAAGCAGCAGCGGGGTTATAGTATAATTTTTGTTTTTGTTATTAATTATTGTCGATTGTTTTGTATTAGCGGTATTAACGGCGCGAAATCAACCAATCAGTCATTTGCATTTCTTGAATCTGCATTTTGGCGTACGCGTTAAGGCAAATCCATTAGTATCGGTTAATGGTGTACCATGATTATCATGAAGGCAAGACAGTTCCGGTTTCAGTGTAAATCGTGTAAATTAAATGTGTAAAGTCTCGTAGCGAAATATTTGTAGAAATTATGTAATCATTTGGTTTATAATGGTACAACCTTGAATTTACTTACGCAGGAATAGCTGCTTTCCGCGATAAATTAAGGTAAATAAGCTGTTATTCGAATGACTAAGTCTTCTTTTATATCAAGTAATAGAGTTTATAACGTAAGGTTTAACGTAGGGTTAAAAGACAAACGGGATTTCATCCGTGTTAATGAATGAAATGAATGGGGAGTTTCCCCTAATTGTTACAATCGACAGATTTAAATTTAGAAGATATATGATAAATATAGCTTTTATTATAAACTCTACTCTTTTAATCGATCAAAAATCTTAATAAATCTATAATAACTATTAAAACATATTTCACAATTAACTATTTTTTACAATATTTTTTGGAATTTGATTAAGTATATTAATTATATTAATTCGAAGAACTACTTTATCTGAATATTGCTGCAATAAACATCATAAATAAGAAAGGAGAAACAAGTGACCCTTTGATCAAGATAAGCTCCCTGCCTTTGAGAGTCATGAACGTCGGAGATGCTTAAATGAACGATTAAATTTGAAGACTCACATCCTTGCCAAAAAATTAGAGCGCGAATTTCACAGCTATAAGCTAACCGAGCTTGTACTTCGGGCTGACCTAGTTTAATACTCAATCATGGTTAAGCGCTGTTAAAAGTCCGTTAAAACATTCCATTTTATTACATTCTTGATAGGTATTAATTAATATTAATATATTATATAATTTATATTAATATGATTTTATATTGATATACAATATTAATAGATTGTTCGTACCTACATGCTAACAGTTGCATTTTTACATTTCAAAGGAAATTATGCGATATAATTAGTTGATGAATGCGTCTGTAAATTTTTGCTGTTTCATCCGTTTTCCCTGCACACAATCTCTTCAATCTCCATGCAAATATAAAGAATTGTAAAGTGACCAGCTTACCCTCAATGCCGAGGTGGATCCACGTGCCATTGTTTCTCGAATTTGGTGTACGATTCGGGAAGATCACCCTGCACTCGTACCAGCCTTGATCGCTTTCGCGAATATTCGTAAGATTTATGCTACCCTGGCCATATCCGTGATGACCAGCATTGTCCAGCAGGTGTATGCGGCCCTTGTAACCGTTGTCCACCGTGACGTGTCCGTCATACCAAGAGAATACCGTACGAGTCTGAGAAAGTTAGAATCAATAAATTACATTTAGAATTACGTCTGAGTTCGGTTTACTAAGATTCATATTTTCATAAATTGTGCAAGCACCCGTAAATGATTTAATTTCAAGGAAACAGTTATTACTTCAATTTTGCCTTCTTCTTAAAGAACGACTATCCGACTGTCTAACCGATTTTTACATACGACGAACGTAGGCGAACCTACGTCTTGAGAAAATTACACCGTGTAACTTGATCGCGACTGCAGCAATGTTAATAGGGTCATCCTTTCGCGGAATGCGAGACTCACGCGATTCAACGAAGAGGTTTAATGTTAAATTCGGGTTTTATTTACGCAAGGTTGCACGCTAATGACGAGCACGGCGAAATGACCCGAGGACGCCATTGTATCGCTCGCGATATCTTAATTATCCCGGTCGGTCAGTAACACCCACGTTCATCAGCGATGGGCCCAAAATCCTCGAAAGGAGGATACGATCTCGTCTACGGGGGCGGGAATGGCGTTAATCGCTTCTAATCATCTGACAATGCATTAACAGTGACCCACTGGTTGGTCCCCTCGTGTCGCAGACTGAACGTGACTAAATATATAATGCAGCCTTGCGTCCCGTACTCCAATTACCACGGCGGACAGACGAAGAGGGAAGGAGCACCTGTTTTGCATACGCATCAGGGACCAATCATGACTGAGTTCCACTTGATTCTGCGTATACGCCACGTGCAATCCGTTTCCGTTGTACGCCACCACGTCGAATGGCGACATCCGCGAGCGATGATCTTGTACACTCGGGCAAATTCACCGCTCTACCATTTTACTCGCACCACCGGCGTCGATATCTCTTTTCCCGAAGAGTTTTTTTCGATATTGTATAAATTATTACATGTCACCTTTAACTATATATAGTTTTTTCCGCCAATATGCGAAGACATATGTATCTTATCATCTTTTCATCGCGTTGTTCGATACCGTCTCTTGCGTATTATGTGTCTATTTGAAATCGAGAAGACATGGAAATACATATCCAGATAGATTGTCATGCCGACGGGGAATATCAGATATATTTCCGAGGAAATCGAATAACCCACCCTACCTTGGATGTTTTCCCTTCGCGTCTCCGCCGGAAGATCGGCGAGTTACGCGCAAGCACGTCCGTATATGCGAATTAGCCGACTAACAACCTGCTTTAACGCTCTTTAATCATCAATCAGTCAATCGCATGTCGTCGTATTACTATTATTATTACACGCGATGTCTCATTATATGCGTACATCGTTGAAGGGAATGGCGTCGCCTCGATTTCTGTGTAAAATAAATCTTCCTTTTTAAGAAGACTTAAAAGATGAGATTCTGTATCTTCGTAGAGGAAGACCGCCAGATACATTGTGATTTCTCTTGCGTTTCGATTCTTTCCGTTTCACGTTATTAACTTATTTATAAGTCTTCCTTTTTAGGAAGACTTGTTACGTTTTTCGTACAATCTTTCTTGAAAAGAAAAATATCTTTTAATCTTTTCTTGTTAGAGTCAAATATATACGTCTTACATTCTCAGATGAAATCGATTTTCAAACCGGTCAATGCGCCGCACCAGAAATCATATTGGATGTCGCGTATCTGCATTGTGTACACTTTTACAATTACTTAATAACTACTTCCATAATAAATATGTGCACATTTGGTTCAAGGTAAAATCCAAGGCACGCGTTAGATATTATTTCGATCACGCAACATGCAGCATATTGTTATACTTTTCAGTGGCATCTGTATTACGAATTTGTATAGTTTTTATTGGATTATACTATAACAATTTATATAAACTTAATAATCCTCAGTAGAATAAAAGAGAGGCGGAGTTAAGCGAGAATTTTACGATGATTAAAATCTTCCTGCTGATTTCTGCTGAATTTGCATATTAAAAAGGGTGAAAGATTACGAGAGTTCCTGATTATACTTACGTCGCGGTTCCATTGAAGAATATATGGAATCGGCGTCTCGTGTGGGAAATCAAGATCGCAATTAAACACCTCGTACTCTCCCACCACGGCAGTAAGATGAATCGGTTCTTTATCCTCGTCCAGCATCAAGCTGTAGCTGCATGCTGAAAAATCGGTGATTGATAAGATTACACGTTTGAAAAAAATCGCGACCGATTTTTATTGATCTAATGCATTCCGGCGGTGTAACATTGTAGATAAATGCCTGTGAGAAGACGTCGCGTGTAAAGTGATATTACACATTGGGACTAATTTCCGGAGAGATTGCGTAATTTTCCGCCGGATTATGCGTGACGATCGAGCGCGTTAACAAAATGATACGTTGTTGTTATCTATTCCTCCCCCCTTGTGCACAAACAGAACCGACGGCGACCGATTGCAACTCGAGAGTAAACAAAATTCTTTCATTTAGTTACTCCCTCGGCGTCACAGTCTCGAATTTAGCCCGCCTTTGCCTCGTACTAAATGGCAATCAGCGAATCGTGCCGTCTGCGGCCGTTACAGCCTGAGATTCTGAGTTCGCGACCCTCGTACAGCGATCTGTATATCCAAAACCGAAATTGTCTTTCCTTCTAAAAATGTTTTTGCCTCTATGTTTTGAGTGAACGTAAAAGAGACGAATTAAGTAATGCGACAAATGTATGGTTCTTCGATTTCGTACCTTCGTAGCAGAGGAAGACCGCCAGCAGCTTGTAGAACTTCGCGGCGCGAAGATTCATCGTGATTTCTCTTGCGTTCCGATCTTGACTCGTGTTTTTCACTTATATTGCGTCAACGGACGAGAGGACGCGCTGGCGGAAACGCGCTGGCGATAGGTCACACTCCGTGGCAACATCTATCATCACCCGCATTCATCGAGCACTAATCGCCACCTTCAGTGCTTCAATCGGCACGCGTCACTCTCACGCCATAAATGTACGCTTCAATCATCCTCTTCCTCGTTCCCGAATTGGCACCCCAAGACAGCTTGACACCTTTCCGTCGAAACTTTTACTCTTTCACGAAGGTGCCTATTTCTCCTGAACCCTTTATCTTGACATCCAGAAAATTCTCTTCGGTGAACGTCGACTCTATTATTTAAGCACCGAAGTAATTAACGTGTCCTGGCTTACAGCTTTATCCAGGATACTCGAGGTCATTGACACTGGAGAACGCGTTCGCAAGTATCCCTGCGCCGGTGTCGTACGATGCACCAGTTTGACACCGAGACGAGGCTGGTTCGCCGCAGAGTGCACCAGAGACAACACTAGATAGAGTAATCGCGCCGTACCCGTTCAATCCGAGCGGATACGAAGAGCCATGCAGGAGTAACGAGCAGCGGGAGGGGGCTGCGAGGGTGGATGGACGGACCGACGACGACGATGATGATGCGGGAGGGGGATGAGAGGTATATCATCGCGATTCTACGTTTACATCGCGATGCGTATACGCTCCGGTTTGCGTCGCATGCGAACTTCGGCACACCCATGGCGACACGAATGAACGGCATTGCACAAAAACGTGACCTATATATCACACGTGATTAATTTAATTCTACAAAGGACTAAAAAAAAATACGTTCGGAATAGTGAATAGCGGAGCACAATTGCCGTGCCCCTCATACTTCCTCGAGTGACCGCGTTGTCCGATATAGAATTAGTATCTACGTTTCAGTTTTCAATTTTCGTCGTAGGTTCTAATTTGAAAAGCCGAAAAGAAACTGTATAACGGTATGTATAACGTCTTATAACAAGTTCGTGTTTTATTTAGCTTTATCTATTTTTACTTTTAATAAGTTGTTTCTTTTGATGTGGCATTCAAAACGAATATAAATATTCATTTAGCACGCAATGCAATTGTCAATGATAAACGTGATGGATATGAGTGACGGTTAGATTTGTTCTCCAGAGTATCTTTTTGATGTAAGTACAATCCCTAGTGTCGTTATTGAAGCGTGCGAAGGGTTACGTTCTTACAACGGGAACGGAAGAATTAAACTGCATTCAATTTATCTTCGGTCGCCGACTCATGCTCTTTCATCGCTGTTCTTTCTTGGTCGGAGCTGAATCGAGAGGATTGAGGCCCCGCGTGCGGCGCAAGTAGAGATTAAAAGTTCACTACACCCGGTTGCATACACGAATCCTTGATCCCCTTAAACGACGATGCTTGCGATACGATTTACACAAGTCACATTTTAGATTGAAGGACAGTGTGCAATAATTATTTATTTATGAGATAACAAGTATATATTTTCTTGAAACATGTTATCTCGGCTTTATTTTAGATAATAATGTGTGAAAAATGATGTTTAAATCCTTGATAAAAAATGCTTAAATATGAGAGAAGATATGAGAGAGAAAGTACCTACGTGAACTCTCACGACTCTCAGGGAAGTGTCCCTTGAACCCTTTTATTTATACGCCTACGTCGCGTAATTGTCATTTACGAGGGCTCTTTTAGCTAAAGACGCTAGTTTCCGGTTACGACTTGTTTACCATAGCAAACTCCACGTTTGTGGAATTAACGACTTTCCTCTCTGTCGACGTATTCTTAATAAAACGCACGAAGAGAGCAAACAACTTTTACTCGCAATTTACATTATGAACAAAATTTTTCTATTTTTATTCGAATAAAAATAGTACTAAAAAATAGTACGCGTATTTGTTTTGCCTGTAAACGTGACGTTGAAAGGATTATTGAACTGTGACACTCGTACAACTTGCATTAAAAAAAAAAATCTGTTTCGATAACGCGACTTATGTATAAAGTAAAATTTTTCTATTTTTATTCGAATAAAAATAGTACTAAAAAATAGTACGCGTATTTGTTTTGTCTGTAAACTGTGATTGAAAGGATGATTGAACTGTGACACTCGTACAACTTGCATTAAAAAAAAAATCTGTTTCGACAACGCGACTTATATATAAAACAAAATTTTTCAAAATACTTTTTACGACGGACGAAAGTCCCTTGTGATCAAAACAAGCTGGAAAATGTCCTGATGGCAATGCTCTTTGTGCAGAGCAGCACAGAGATCATCGATTCCCGATGCGGTTCGTGTGCCAAAACCGCACGGACGAAACTGCATCGGAGCAGCCAGTGCGTGGGTGACCTCAGATTACGTCACGTCCGTCCCTTGCCGCATTAGCAGACTGCCCACAGCCTTGTCATGCTGTTGAGATAATGGATCCATTCGCATGGATCACGATCCGGGATTGGACGTGCCCGGGACACTGGAAATAAATGCGCGCGTAATGATACCGACCGTATTATTTCATCGTCGACGCAGAAGAGGGATCGGCTCGTTCCTGGGTTCACCTGTCCGAGATCGCGTCTGCAGCCAGACGCAGATTATTCCTGTTTCACAGAGCGGTATAATAGGGATGATTTATTTGCAGTTCACTAACCCCTCATCGCACCACACGATCCCAGTCGGTCCTGCGAGTGCATATCGCTAATCGATACACACTCAGATTTGTACAATAGCATTTCACACAAGAAAGATCGACTGATGACTTTTAAATCTTTTGTGACGGTCAAGCAATTACCTCTTGTGCGCGGCGATACTCGGCGTATTAATGACTCGAAAATAATTCTCTAGAAGTTTCGCAGAAAAATATTACCCCTCGAGGATTCCCGCGCCATAGATCTACCTTAGATTTACGATGTAAGACGATTTACGACGGGACGAGAACACATTTTATCTTTCTCTGAAAGTAATCGAATTGCTGCTGGAAATTTTTCGAGTGCTTTATCGCAAAAGATTCCTCTCCGGCCTCGCCGGGAGAAGCAAACTCGTAGCGAGGCAGATACAACGGCAGAAGAATGGTCCGTCTCTGGAATACGTTTTCCTCCGAGGCGAACCACAAGAAATAATTTATAAAGCTCTTATCAAGTTTTGAATTGGCATTCTGTATATAAAAATGAACCTAATGTATCAGGAAGCGAGGATAGTCCTTTGATAAAGAACCTTCTGTCGTAATAAAGCGCCATTCTAGTTTTCTTTTGTTTTGGCAAATCACGTTGCACGAATACCGAAAGGAATAATGGAAATGATGGCAATTTGCAGTAATCTGTGCCGCGGACGTCTTGCGTAAATGTACCGTGGGCCAATTATATGCAGTTTCTCAAGGAAATTACAGCCGCTTCGCGATTCCGTGATTTTACATATCAAGCGCTAAAAATCTAACCTCGCTCAACGATTATTTCGTGTCTTCAATTGTCTTACGGATATCTTATAACTGTTTCAATATGACAGACTGCAGATATTCATAGTGCGTTCTTATTTTAAGACTTAAGACCATCTTAAGTAACATCTTAAGATATCTACGGCTGTGTGATTGGCTTATGATATCTTAAGACTGTACTTAAGTATGTATAACGAATAGTATAAAGGCCTATATCACTGAAAGACGAGGAAAGACTTACGAATATAATCAATTTTTGACGAATGCCTCAGCTTTTATTGACTGCGATGCGCAGACGTGATAATCGTCCGGTGACCCGATTTTCTTATTCTGACAATCTTATTACCTTGACTAGCAATTGCACTCTCTATTATTACCAGGGCGTAGAAATTCTCTAGTTAGGAAGGAATAACACGGCGCGTTGCGAGTAATATCGTACAATTGAAATATTGAGACCTAATATCAAGTAATATCCGATTCGTTCAAGCTCATAACGTTACATTACAATAATTATTATTAATCTTTACCAATCGTTTACCAATATATCATCCTTTTTTATACGTACCTGTGATTCCAACAGTACTTTAATATTTTAGTATAAAGAAGACGTGACTGCGCCGCATCGAAATTCGTTGCACATGTGTTTAATGGTTAAATCAATACAAATGCAAATTGTCTTGGGAACGTTGCCCATTTCGTTTCAAATGTCGATTTATTTTTCATTTTATTTAATAATAAATTGTCTACAATTTGTCCTAAGTTAGTACGTCTTGGAATTCTCGTGGGGGGTTTCGCGAGAAAGCATAGATCAATCAATCAAACTGGGTAATGGAGGTGAACAACGAGCATTCGCGAAAGTGACAACGAAACGGTTCAACGCACCGTGTACAAGTCCGACGGCGGATACAGTCGAGAATAAGCGGAAGTGAAGATACAGACGGTACAGAAGAACGTTACATGCGTGGTGTAGAAGCGATTCGATGTCGGGCGTGAGAAGACTAACGATTACGAGTGTGACAGTACACATTCTGATGACTCAACAAGAAACAAAATTAATTAGTAATGTGAGAGAATAAAAAAAAAGAAGAAGAAAAGGAAACCTCTCCTCTTTTCCTCGAATTCAATTCGGCGCAACAGATATCGTTGCAAATAGCAATTGTGCATGATGATGTGAGAGCACTCGAAGATGAGAGCCGTGCTTGGAGCCGCGACGATCCTCACCAGGTTTTACGAGAGCGCATTGGGTCCGCCGTTCGATAGCGAAAGGGAAACATTCGATAATGTTTTATGTGCGCGCAAGGAAATGTTGCACACGCTATACGAGATCTCAAACAAGTCGAAGCGCGTATGTGGTATGGTCGCAGATCCAAGCAGGAACGTAGAGTACCCGAGAGCCATTGAATTCGACTGGAACGTGTCTTTCACGTCGACCCATAATATCATCCTACCAATATGGGTATCGCGAATATAGTATGACACTGGCACATATTTCACGTCGAATTATCATCTCTCGCGTGTTATTCGGCGCGTCACTGTACCTCGAAGCAGCATCGTCGCTTTGTTGTGCTCCTTTGCAATTTAGATATACGTCGAAGACTTATCATTGCAAATGCACGTTGGAAATACGAGTATCTCAAGTCAATTCGAATGTGATCAGAATGCGTTCGAGATTTAACGCGAACGGATTTATGCGACGAGATTGTTGCGATCTATACATGTATATTAATTTTTTAACGCGAATATCTAATGCAATATTACGAGTTATCGCCACGCGTTATTCGCCTCTCACATATATATATATATATATATATATATATATATATATATATATGATATATCTACAGTTTTCCGCGATTATGCATTTACGTAATATATTTATGACTATCTACAATTTATACACGAACTCATTAATAAGCAAAATGAGCGTACGTTTTTCGGCTGTGCGACGAGTGAAGCTGCGCAATAATCCGCGATGCCAAAAATCGCGTACGTCCTGCTTCGAGGGCTCACGAATTTTGCTGGAGCGATCACGGGCAATGAGCCGAAACCGCGACTGGCTTTCAGGTACATTTAACGAACGAAAGGC